ACCACGTGTGGTGTGTGTGTGTGTGTGTGTGTGTGTGTGTGTGTGTGTGTGTGTGTGTGTGTGTGTGTGAATCACAAAACAGCAATAAGCATTGCCAATGTCTGGTTGCGTGTATGCACACAACAAGTGCAGCACAACGCAAGAAAAGCGCAATGAGTACACACACACACACACACATGCACACACATGCACACACACGCACACACACACACTGCCGCCGCCGCACCGTGAACGCCGATGATGGTGTCGCCGCTCTTGAGGATGCCAAGCTTCTTGCCGCGCTCCATTGCCCAGAAGAAGCGGTTGTCGACATCCTGCGACCAGCTCTCCTCGGGCTGGAAAGAAAAAAAATTGTAGAGAGGCGGAGGCGTAAGGAGGCGTTTGTGAAGGTCAACGTAGGTGTGTGTGTGTGTGTGTGTGTGTGTGTGTGTGTGTGTGTGTGTGTGTGTGTGGTGTGTGTGTGTGTGTGTGTGTGGTGGTGGTGTGGTGTGTGTGGTGTGTGTGTGTGTGTGTGTGTGTGTGTGTGATGGAGAGATGAGGGATTCAAGTGGCAAAAGGGTGAACAATCCATCGCAGACAAGAACAAGCACATCCACACACGCACGCAAACACACATGTATGCTTCCACCCACCACACACAAACACACGCGCACGCACGCACGCGAACACACACACACACACACGCACGCAAACACACACGCACGCACACACACACACACGAAGAACGGACCACTTTCTGCTTGCGGTAGTAGAGCGGGTGGACGCCGTGGTAGAGGTGCATCTGGCGGGAGACGTGCGTCGTGCGCGTCACACCAATGATGGGGCACTTTGGCTTCCACTTGGACAGCAGGCGCGCAGTGCGGCCCCTGATACGCACGGATGCACACATTACACGCACACACACACACACACGTGTCAGTTATGCGCGATGTCGTGTGGCGATGATCCGATGAGCCAGTGTGCGACAGGATGAGAAGGGCGCGCACAACAGTCTTCAAACACATGGCGACTCACGAGATGGTGAGGCAGATGATGCCGGCTGCATTGCAGGCAACAGAGGCGTCGACAGCGGCAACAGAACACGTCTCCGTCGTCTTGGTGGGCCGGGGCGTGATCTGTGCAGCGGTATTTGAGGGAGGGGAGGGTCGCACGCAGCAGGTGAGTCAAGAAACACACAAGTCACAATTGGCGCACACAGATGGCCAAGCCTGCAAACACACACACACACACACACACACACACACACACACACACACACACACACACACACACACACACACACACACACATGCGTGCAGCATCACGAACCAGTCAACAACAAAACACAGAACAAAAGAAAAGCGTTCGTGTCACCCACGCATACATATGCTCACGTGCTGCATGCATGCAAGCAACCATCGCACATAATGCGCACACACACACTCACACTCACTCACTCACACACTCACACTCACACACACACACACACACATACACGTACCAGGCGCAGCTCCTCGCGGTACTTCTTGAGATGGACGGCACTCTCGGCCTCCGTGCAGATGGATGCCATCATCTTCACAGCCTGTGCACATGGACGCATGCATGTTGGAATGAATAAGGAATGAACAGAAAATGAGTGCAGTGTTCGCACGCACACCAACACACACGCACGCGCACACTAATGCACACGCACACGCACACCAACACACACGCACGCGCACCAAAACACACGCACACGCACACGCACACGCACACGCACACTAATGCACACATGCACGCACCTCGACGGGGTAGTCGCCCTTTGCTGTTTCGCCGGAGAGCATGACGCAATCGGCGCCATCAAGCACGGCGTTGGCAACATCGCTTCCTTCCGCGCGCGTCGGGCGCGGCGCGTGCACCATCGACTCGAGCATCTGCGTCGCACAGATAACAGGCTTGCCCGCCCTTGGCCCAAGCAAACAGTGGTGTTGGTGGTGTTGGTGTTGGTGGTGGTTTGCTGGAGACAAGCATTCATCTACACACGTACACACGCACACACGCACGCACAAACAAAACCATACACACGCGCACGCAATTACATGCATGCACGTTAGCAAGGTTACATTACGTACATGTTGCACTTTGCGATCATCATCTTCTGGGCGAGGAAGACCTTTTCGGCGGGAATCTCAATGCCCAGATCGCCGCGCGCCACCATGATCCCGTCCGCCTCCGACAGAATCTCGTCAAAGTTCTGGATGCCTAATGGCAGTTGCACACCCGCACGCACACACACACACGCACACAATACGTGTGAGTGAATTTGCGCCGCACAAAACGGCAACAGAGTCTGTGTCACGTGCTGAACGGCTGCGGGTGGTATTGGCCACCTACCCAACCATCACGCCACCCACACATCGACTGGTCATTACAACAGCACACGCGCGCGCACGACATTGCATGCACGCGACAACCAACACACCTTGGTGGTTCTCGATCTTTGCGATGATGAGCACGTGCTTGCCCTTGTCGCCGAGCACCTTGCGCAGCTCGCGAATGTCCGCCCGACTGCGGATGAACGAGGCAAACACAATGTCCACGTTCTGCTCAACTCCAAACAGCAGGTCACCTGCGCAGCGTGTGTGTGTGTGTGTGTGTGTGTGTTTGGATGGGTGAGAAAGACAAAAGAAGAGCAACGTGTGGGGGTGCATCTAAGGTGTTGCGAGAACGGGAGTGGTGTAGCGAAATAGAAGGTCAACATTTCACGCAGCAAAGCGCAACACGCGAGCAGCACCACGGCAGCACGAGCAGACATGATAGAGACCGCACCGTGGTCCTTCTCCGAGACGGCAGGAAGATCGACGTTCACGTTGGGGAGGTTGCAGCCCTTCCTCGAGCCAAGCTTGCCGCCTGCAGTAGCGTGCAAACACATGGCGTTGTGCGTGTGTGTGTGTGTGTGTGTGTGTGTGTGTTTAAAAGGTGAGAGGACATCAAATCCCGTGTGGAATTGAGAGTGAATCGCCATAGTCAAGACAAGCACAACAGTATAAATGCATGTATGCATGCATGCATGTCATCCCAATGCCGTGCACGCACTGTTGAGGATGGTGCACTTGATGTTCTTGTCCTCAATGGCATCAGCGCGCAGGGAGATGAGGCCGTCATCAACGTAGATCTGGTTCCCAGGCTGCATCACTGCCACATCGAGACCACCACCACCACCACAATCACCACAATCACCACCAACATCATCATCCATTGTGAAGGGGGGGACGATGGCATGTGGATGCGAGTTCACGACCATGTGAGTTAGCGGAGCAAGGGAGACCGAATGACACTGGTGCATCGTGCAACCCCCATGTTTGCCGCATGGAGCAAAGTTTGTTGTTGACTGTCGCACCTTTCGTGATGTTCTTGTAGTCCAGGTACAGCGTATCCTTGGTGCACTTGTCCTGTGGAATCGAGACGCAAGTAACAACAAGACACAGCATGGTTGTGTGTGTGTGTGAACGACGAGCAAGCACACACGCTTCCCCACTCTACACACACACACCCTCCCCATACCACTTCCTTCCTCGATGTCTCAGGTATCAAGCGGCACATGCCTTGAAAGCGGGATCGGTGGTGACGGTGATGTGCTCGCCGGCGACGAGATCAAGCTCCAGGCGCGGGTCCTTGTCGGAGCCCTCCAAAAGGCCTGTGCGGATCTCCGGGCCTTTGGTGTCCAGAGCAATGGCGATGGGCTTTCCCATCTGCTTTGCAGCCTCGCGCGCGTTGGCGATGGTCTCCGCATGGTACTGTCGTGTACACATGCATGTGTGCGTGTACGCGTGCGTGTATGTGCGTGCGTGTGAGATCGTGTTGGGGGGGGGGCCAAGAGGTGAACAGAAGTAGCCAGTGCAGTTCGCAACAAGAGGGAAAGAAGCCATGTCACGAGCAAGCAGACAGCGTCAACACAAGGCTTCATACACACACACACACACACATCTGGATACCAATCACAAGGAGACACATGCAAGGCAAGGCATGCTGTGGCGCTGTACCGCGTGGTCGCCGTGGGAGAAGTTGAGGCGAACAATGCAAAGGCCTGCCTCCATCAGCTGCCGCAGCTTCTCCACAGATCGGGACACGGGGCCTGCCGCCAAGCAAAGACACGTACGCACACACACACGCACGCATGCACGCGCATATGACTGTGAATGGACATGCACCAAGAAGAAGAAGCGGCAGCAGAAGCATGTAGGCGTGCATGCGCGCAGCACCAGCGGCTGCAAAAACGGCGAGGATGTAACAACGGCAGGGGGTGCAGCCACCATCCTACCACTGTCATGAGTTGTTACTTCTCTCGCTCACCACCCATATATACATATTTCATTGACACGCTAATCACAGACAGTAGTAACACATCCATCCATCAGCGTGTGTGATCAGCACGACCCACCGATGGTGCAGATGATGCCGGTCTTGCGCTGGTGGATAGGCTCGCTGTACACGCTCAGGCTGCCGCGCAGCTCCAGATCCGTTGAGGCAGTGTGCGCCTCAAGCTGGCCTGGAAGCACGCCGTCCTTGCTGCTGCGGGCACTCATGCTCATGCTGTTGGTTGTAATGTAAGCGTCGCTGGATCTGCTGGGTTGCTGGGTTGCTCGTGGCTTGCTTGGTCGCTGACAGTGTCTGCTTTTGTGGGTTGGTTCGTGGGTGTGAGAATGGAAACTGTGAATGGTGGTGTGTTTGTGATTTGTGTGATTTGTGCGTTTGCCCACTTTGTGCGGGTTGTCTGCTCTTGCTTCTTCGATTGGGGCCAATAAATGTCAATTTTGCTTTTCTCAAAAGGCAATTTTGACTTGACAACGACTGCGCCGATAACGACAACACAACAACAACAACCAACCAACCCCCAAGCCCTCAAGAAGCAAACATGAGCAGCGGCCACGATGTTGGCAGGTGAGCGCGCGGATGAACGAGCGAGGAGGGGCGGAGATGCAGTGCACATGTGGGTTTCCCCTTGACCCCATGTGTTTAGAATGTGGGCGTCCTCCGTTCACGTTCACACACATTCACATCGCACACGCGCGCGCGTGGACGTACATACACACACACACACGCACACACACGTGCTCACACACACACACACACGCACACACACGTGCTCACACACACACACGCACACACACGCTCACACACGCTCACACGCACGCACGCACACACACACACACACGCACACCTGCACGTTTACATTCACAAGGGAAATGGCCAGTGTCCTCACTGCGCCAGAGGCTGAAATGTATGTGGAAGCGCTCAAAGTCATCCCCATCAAGAAGATCGGGCAGCCAGCGTGAGTGCACATGCGTGTGTACGGTCAAAAGCATGCGCACCTTTCTGTGCAAGACACACACACCACACACACACACACACTCTCTCTCTCTGCCTCCTGCCTATTTGCGTGTGTGCGCACTGTCACTTGCCGCTTTGCTCACTCTCATCACGTGTCATCTTGTTGACACACAGGTGGCTGCGACAACACGAGATGCTGGAGAAGCTGAACATGCAGGTGCGTCTCTCCGATGACACTGCACCACACAGCAACTGCCTCTTTGCATGTCTACCTGTCTACATGTCTATGTTTCACTGTGTCTCCCCTTCCCCGCCCTGTGTCATGGGTGTGCAGGCGCACGTGAATGCCATGTTGAATCAGGACGACTTCATCAAGGAGGCCTTCATCAGTTTTGATAAGGCACACTGTTTGCATGATCTTGCATTGGTTGCATCTTGTTTGTGCTCCTTCCAACCTCAGCGCAGAGTTTCCCCCCCCCACCAAACCCAGCTGACACACACCACACACCGCCGACGGCAACGGCAACGGCTTGTTTCCACGTGCTCACCATGACGGCTGCTTGTTTGCGACCGCAGGCGAATGTGCTCATCTACGAGCTTGTGGTGATGGAGGTGTGGCGAGAAAAGGTGAAGCCGCTGCTGGAGGACATGGGGTATGCCAAATCCAGCACCATGACCCCATACATTGTGGTACGTCGAGTCTGCTTGGTGTCCACGGCACTGGCATCAGTCTGTCTGCCTGTCTGTCTGTCTGTCTGCTTGTGCACGTACACATGGTCAACGCCACTGTGCTGCGTGTCTCTGCGTTCATGTCATGCCATTGGACGCTGACCTTTCCACCTACTTGCGTGCAGCAATACCACGAGGCGACGGTGGTGAATCTGCTGGAGGCGCTGACGTACTCCAGGGACTTTGTCGAGGCGGCTGCAGACAACATTGTCGATGTCATCGATTACTGCAACCGCGCCCTTCAGTACCTCAACTCAAGGTAACCCCGGTGCTGTGCACTTGGCACTGCGTTGATGGTTTGTTGGATGTGTGTGTGTGCGTGTTTGTGCTTGTGTGTGTATGTGCTTGTGTGTGTATGTGCTTGTGTGTGCTTGTGTGCGTGTTTGTGCTTGTGTGTGTGTGAGTGTGTGTACGTCTGTCTATGTGTATGTGCCATGTGTGTGTATATGCCATATGTGTGTGTGTCTGTGCCTGCATCTGTGCCCACGTCTGTCTATGCCCATCTGTGTGCGGTTGTCGTTACTCACGGCTGTCACCTGATGCTCTGCAGGACCGAAGAGGAAATTGAAGAGGAGCGACGACTTGAAAATCTTCCAGCGAAAGACTTTGCAGACATGTCATCGCCAGAGGTCTGTGCTGTGCACCATCCATGCGTGCGCGCGCGTGTGTGCGTCTGTGTGTGTGTGTGTGTGTGTGCGTGGCTGTGTTGTGTGTGTGTGTGTGTGTGTGTGTGCGTGTGTATGTGTGTGTGTTTATGTGTGGCTGTGTGTGTGTGTGTGTGTGTGTGTGGCTGTGTGGCTGTGTGTGGCTGTGTTGTGGGTGTGGACATATGTGCGTGGCTGTGTTGTGTGTGTGTGTGTGTGTGTGTGTGTGTGTTGCGTGTGTTGTTACTTCTCTCTACCCCTTTCCTTCCTTCTATTCTTCCTGCGTGGCTATGTGGTGTTGGCAGCGACACAGCTGTGATTGCTTTCTCTGCACTCTCGCGCGTTGCACTTGCAACCGCCAGCGCCGCACTCACCTCCTTGCCAACCCGAACACAACAACAACAACAACAACAACAACAACAACAACAACAACAACAACAACAACCTCGTCCCTGATTCCATGTGTCTGCGCTGACAGCAACTGCGATACCAGACGCGCGATCTTCGCTTCCAGATTGCTGTCCGTGCCGTCTCCATCCTCCGCTACATCACAGACCACATCACATGGTCCGTTGCCGGCGCGTGGCGGCCGCTGTTTCGTGCTGGTGGCTGCTGGGTTGGCTGGCTGTGTCCTCAATGTGGAATCGGGCGTGCTCACCGGCATGATAATGAATCTGCCAACAGCGCCATGATGACTGTGCCATCGCTCACGTGTGATTGTCCTGACATGTGTGCGTGTGTGTGCTGGCTGTTTCTGCCGTGTCCCCGTGTCGATTGCGCGTCATCACAGCTTGCCACTGAGTGCAACCACCCGCATCCTCAACACACACGGTGAGAAAATGACTCACTCCATGCTGCGTTGTGGTCACGTGTGCGCGCGCGTGTATGTCCGTGTTTATGGACTTGCGTTCGTGAACTCGTCTGCTCAATCTGCGTCTGTGCGCTACTTTATTTGGTCTTGTTGTCCTCGCACCTACACGTTGCTCGTGCGCGCCTGTGTGCTTCTGCTCACCCCAACTGTCCCCACCCTCCCCCCTCCTCACTTCGTTCTTGTGGTAGACATGCCGTGTGCGCTGGTTGAGCTGGCGGTGCATCCGCCCTGGGTTCGAGAGGTTGACGGTGGGTTCACGATGAGCATGGTGGAGTGACGACGCGTGAAGACAAGAGGGAGGAGTGAACACACAGCACGAGCGCCTCTGATTGTGGTTACAAGTTCGAAGGGGAGGAGGTTGTCTGGGCGCATTAAGCTTTAACTTCTTTCTGTATACCTGTGCATGCGCGCGGATGCATGGGACGGTATGTTGAAGCTTGTTCACGCTGTTCTCTTCGCTCCACTGCCCAGGCCGTGTCGAGAAGCTGCAGGAAAACCAGAAGTGGGAGCCCATTGCTCCCAGCGAACGCTTGCAACTCAGCAAATATGAGGCCCAGGTGGATTGAACTTTGTGTGTGTGTGTGTGTGTCTGTGTCTGTGTGTCTGTGTCTGTGTGTCTGTCGGTCTGTCTGGCAAATGTACAGTTGTTGTTGTTGTTGTTGTTGTTGTTGTTGTTGTTGTTTGTGGTGGTGGTGGTGGTGGTGATGGTGTGTCTTGCATTGACTTCCCTGGCTCATCTTCTCTCATTCTTGGTGTTCTTCTGTGCATCATCTGCGACTGAAAGGTCTGGTTGGCACTGTACAATTTGTTGATGGAACCTGAATGCCGACGCAAGTATCAGTTCAACACATACAACAAGAACCAGATCTTGCGGCTGCGTGCATTTCTCAACGGTGAGCCTGTCTGTGTGTGTGTGTGTGTGTGTGTCTGTCTGTCTGTGTGTGTCTGTCTGTCTGTCTGTCTGTCTGTCTGAGTGTGTATCTGTGACTGTGTGTCTGTGTGTGCACTGCTGCTCGTGTCGTTTTCGGTGTGCATCTCCTCTCCTCCCCTCCGTGCCACATCATCATCGTCACCACCACCGCCAACTCCGCCACCATCACCGTCTTCAACTCTCCCTTGCACGGTGCAGATGTGATCCTGGACCAGATTCCGCCGCTGACCGAATTGCGCCGCTCACTGGAAGAGCTTTCCATCATGCAGCCGCCCGCCGCAGAGGCAAATGTCGTCATCGAACAGGTCACCCATTGCCACCGCCGTGTCCATCTGCCTTTACTGTTGCTTTGTTTGTTTGTTTGTGTGTGTGTGTGTGTGTGTGTGTGTGTGTGTGTGTGTGTGTGTGTGTGTGTGTGTGTGTGTGTGTGTGTGTGTGTGTGCGTGTGTGCGTGTGTGTGTGTGTCCGTGTGTCCGTGTGTGTGTTCGTGTGTGTTTGGGTTCCTTTGCCGAAGTGGACGTTTCTCTGTTGCGCTACCCCTTTTTGTTCTGTTACTCCGTTCCTGTGTTGCCCCGTGCCCCCATGACAGCGCTCCTTGTAGTTCACACATGCACACGCGCGCGCGTTGCTCATTCTCTCTCCCTTTGCTTCCTCTACGTTGCACCACCCCGCCTTGCGAACCAATGCACTGTCTTGCCTGCTTGCCTGCAACAGATGCCTGAGCTTCGCGAGCATGTGTTGGGCACGGGCAAGGGCGGCTGGCGACCGGTTGCTGAACATCAGATGAAGAAGGTTTTCAATGACAACGAGGACACTATGCGGAGACAAGCGCAAGCGTGCGTTTCATGGCTGTCTGTGTGTGTCTGTGTGTGTCTGTGTCTCTGTCTGTACCTGTGTGTCTCTGTGTGTGTGTGTGTGTTTGTTCGTGGCATATGCACGTAGTCGTCTGTTTGATCTTTCACGTGTTGCTCTGCTTGTGTTTGTTGTGTGCCGCGACTGCCTTCCATCCTGGTCACTTTGTGTGGATTTCATTTCTCCACTGGCGGTCACGTCACGTTGTCGCTGTTGCCTGTGTTTTCTTTGCTGGCGTGTAGGTTGGCAGCCACGTACAATGTTGACACACTGGATGCGCTCTTCCCTGAGGCGCCCAAGTGCGCTGTGTGTGGTGAGCCCGCCACGAAGCGTTGCTCAAAGTGCAAGAACGAGTGGTACTGCCGCAGGTCAGTGGCCCCTTGCGTCGTATGTCTGTCTGTGTGTATGTGTGTGTGTGTGTGTGTGTGTGTGTGTGTGTGTGTGTGTGTGTGTGTGTGTGTGTGTGTATGTGTGTGTGTGTGTGTGTGTACATATGTTCACATGCTTACGTTCTGGTGTTCTGATGTTCTCCGCTGGTTTGCTCCCCCCTCCCCCGCCTCCTCCAAACAGGCAATGTCAGGTGGAGCACTGGCCCAAGCACAAGAAGCTGTGTGCAACCATTGCCAGCGGTGCCAAGACACCCGCTTCATAATGCGTCTGTGTCAATGTCTGTGTGTGTGTGTGTGTGTTTCTGGGCATAAAACCACGAAAGCAACTTTGTCTCCTCTTCCTCTTCCTCCTGTTTGCTGTGAGCAGATGTGCGCCACTGCCAGCACACACACGCACGCACACACACACACAAAAACAAACACACACACGCACAACCAACTCCACTTGAATTTGTGGCGGCACACGTTGAGAAGAGTGCATTTCAGATGCAAGCAAGATGTGCCCCCGACGACCTTCAAGTCGTGCTTGCAGGCACAGTTGCGTTTTCTTCGTTCAACGGCAGATTTCTCGTGTGCCGTGTGTTGTTGCTTCATCTTCTTCGTGCCTGTTTTGGTTTGTGATGTCCAGTGCGCACTGTTGTTTGTTCGTTTGTTTGTTTGTTTGTGGTGGTCTCTTTGTGATGCGTGCTCTCCTTCGTCTGCTGCACGACAGCAACGTGCGTGAGCCTTACTGGTTGGCGAGATGGTATTGCCAACCACCACCACCACAGCAACAAAGGGAAACAAAGTGGTGGCAGGCCCGTTGCTGCAGCCCCACAGCAACGGTGTTTTCGAGAGTGATGCTGGTGCTCAGCTGGTGATGGTGCATTTCCCCCACCGACATCGACCTCAGCACCCCCCCCCCCTCGCCACCAATCAAGCACCAGCCCCTCGCGCACGATCCTTGGTACATATTATCCCTACCCTGCTTTGCCCCAAGCCAACCCCGCCCCCTCCCTACGGAAGGCGACAGCCCGGATGATGGCTAGTGAGACAAAGGAAGACGTGCTGCACGAGGACGTGGCAAGGGCGCGCAGCTACTACGACAGCGATGACGCAGAGGCGTTTTACTCGACTGTGTGGGGAGGCGAGAACATCCACATCGGCCTGTACCAGGACGAGGCAGAGAGCATTGCAGACGCGAGCCACCGCTCTGTGGAGACCCTTGCCAAGAAGCTGGCGCCCTTGCACAAAGCAAGCCATGTCCTGGACATGGGGTCTGGCTACGGCGGCACAGCGCGATACCTGGCCCGCACGTTCGGCTGCCGCGTCACCGGGCTCAACCTGAGCGAGGTGGAGAACCAGCGCGCGCGCAGCCTCAACGAGAAGCACGGCCTGCACGACAGGGTGCAGATTGTGCAGGGCATGTTCGAGGCCGTGGAGCTCCCAGATGCGCATTTCGATGCCGTGTGCTCACAGGACTCGTTCCTGCACAGCAGCGACCGCGCACAGGTGGTGGCGGAGGCGGCGCGCCTGCTCAAGCCTGGCGGCGTGTTCGTGTTCACGGACATCATGCAGGCGGACGACTGCGACCCAAAACGCCTGCAGCCCATCTTCGAGCGCATCGACCTCTCCTCCCTCGGCTCGCCCGAGTTCTACCGCAACGCCGCAGAGCTGCACGGCCTGGAGGAAGTGGCGTTTGAGGACAACACGCACCACCTCATCACGCACTACTCGCGCGTCCTCAGCGAGACGGTCGCCAAGGAGGACGTGCTCCGTCAACGCATCAGCAACGCCTACCTCGACCGCATGAAGCGCGGCCTGGACCTCTGGGTCAACGCGGGTCGTGATCGCCAGCTCGTCTGGCCGCTCTTCACCTTCCGCAAGCCAGCAGAACAGGCCAACTGACACGGCTTCGGCTGCGAACAACCACACTAGCACTGGCGGGCATGTCATGTCATGTTACACCCATGCTTGCTCGAACTTGTGTTCCTTTGGCAGGGTGGTGCGTTCCACAACGCATGGCACCTTTCTGTGTTCCTCTCTGTGTCACTGCATGTCCTTCTGTCTGTCTGTCGTGGCGTCTCGCTGTCAGTATTCATGGTTCCTGCGTATGACCTATTGACCGGACTTGGGGGACGGGAGGGTTGGTGATGATAGTGGTGGTGGTGGTGGGGATGATAGTGGTGGTGGTGGTGGTGGTGAGGATGTGCCATTGTGTGTTCCTACGCCCTCTTTCTCTTCCGTGATGCCCTCGTGGTCAACGGGAAAGTGTTTGCTTGGCTGCTCGATGTGACACTTGTGTGTACGCTGTGCTGCGACTGACTGACAGGACTTGTTTGCCACCAACCGCACCAATAACAGAATCAGAAATAACCAAGCCACCCCAAGTCCCAATCGCAAGCAAACGCCACAAGTCAGCAAGCAAGCAAGCTGCCAAGAGCACACAAGCCCTTCGCCCACGAGCAGAAGAGTATCATCAGTTATCAACAACAGGCGATTATGGTACGGTTGCTTACACAAAACAAAAACGACAACACACAAACAAAGGGAGGAGGAACCCGGGGCGGGGGGGGGGTCATACACTCACGAGGAATCACCATCAACAACAACCAGATCCGAGTCACCACCATCGTCACCGCTGTGACTGGTTGCTTCAGGTGATCCCTGTTTCACAACCACGCGGACAAGGGGAAAAGGGCGACGTGAGATGTGCGTAAATCTGTTCGCCTGTCATTGTGCGTGTGTGTCTGTGTGTCTGTGTGTGTCTGTGTATTTGAAAGGAGGGGATAAGCAAGCGTGACGCAGGGATTGCAACACAGACCCAACACGATGCTCACAGATAGGCTGTAGGAAATGTGGTCCACGGGCGGCCGCTGAAGTGGGTGGGCCGCAAGCGATGCCATGCTCTGATACAAACGAAGGACGGACCTGTGTGCGTGTGTGCATGTGAGAGAGAGAGTGTGTGTGTGGGTGTGTGGGTGTGTGGGTGTGTGTGTGTACGCAAGCAAGGATGCAACGGCGTACAGAACAGGGGTGCCAAGCGGCCGCCATCATCGCCACTTGGGTACACGCACGTTGAAACGGAGAAGAGGTAAGACCGCTGCGATGGCGCGACGAGCCGGACCAGAGCATCAAACACGCCCGCCGCCTCGCCGTCAGCAGCGTCAGGTCGATGGTGTGCACTGCCCGATGCCAGTGATGACGCGTCTCCCATCATGGCCTCTCGGTCGAACAAGTACAGCACATCCAACACAAATCGCCCATCGGAGAGCAGGCGCTGATGTTGCGGGAAAACAAAACAACAAGCACGCGTGTCATATGAGCCGGCAAACACAATGGATAGGCATGTGTGTGTGTGTGTGTGTGTGTATGTGTGTGTGTGTGTGTGTGTGTGTGTGTGTGTGGCGTCGTGTTGGTTTGGGAGCACTGGCTTGAGGTGGAACACGATGCATGTCCTCCACCCACGTTGGCGTCGGTCCACTGGAAGGGAAAGCAAGGTGACAAGGTGGTAGCGGTACGTGAGACATGAGAGCAGGTGTCGAAAAGCAACATCAATCACCCATTACAAGCTCACTGAACAACGACAGGACCACGACTGCAACTGCACACACACACACACACACACACACACACACACACACACACACACACACACACACACACACACACTGTGCACAGGTGCGCTTCTGTGCTCAACGTACTGTGGGCAGAACGCGCGAGCGACCATAAATGAGGATCGCACGCACTGTGTGGAGACCCGAGGACGTTTGCGACAACAGTGGCTCCCTAAGCAATTAGGAACACAAACACAACGACACCGCCAAAAGAGATTTATGTGATGTGAGTTGGCAAAGTATCTCCCGCCATCCAACTGCCCACGCCAAGCCGAACAAAGAGCCCACCAGTCGCAGTGAGCGAACGTACAAGTTGGCAACCAGTGAATCCAGTTCTGTGACAGCCCCCCCCCCCAAAGATACAAAAGCGACACGCATGCATGTACGAGTGAGTGTGTGCGCGTGCATGTCATGCACATGTGGGATTGTGGAGTTGGAGGAGACGTCTGCGAAGGAGCCAAAATAGGTGCAAGCTAACTGCTCGCTTGGAACACAACACCTTGTCCAACACACCACACACACACACACACACACACACACACACACACACACACACACACACACACACACACACACACACACACACACACACACACACACACACACACACACACACACACACGTGGTCCCCAAGGACGCAGGCCGCCCTTTGAGCACTCACGGCATTCGCTGAAGGTGCCTTGCACGTCCACGTGGCCCAGCATATCCAGGAACGTCATCTTGTCACCTGGCTGAAAGAGCTGTAAAACAAAAACAGGTAGCAGAGTGCACGGAGGTGAGAAGGACAGAGACAGGAGGCAAGGTGGTTTGAAGAACAGGCAAGTCATAACAACGCACACACACACACACACTCATTCACACACTCTCTCTCTCATTCACACACACTCACACTGTCACACACACACACACACAGTCACACACACACACACACACACACACACACACACACACACACTTCAAACAACGTATCAAGTGGCAAAAGCAGTTGATGGGATCGCAAACAAACAAACAACCAAGCAAACAACCAAGCAAACAACCAAGCAAACAAGCACGGGTTGAGACAAGCGCCCGCGCTTACCCAAACCATCTCCGAAGTGAGGAGGGCCAGGCCGTATGTGTGACGCGGAGAGATGAGGGATTTGAACTCCACCAGCTTCTTGATGGCCGATTTGACATGGTCCAGCCGAGATTTGCCCTTTCTGCCACAACCAACGAGCCATGTGTCAGTGCCCAGTGCACGCCACACCATGCTGCTGAAGCGAAGCAAGGCAAGCAAGCAAAACCCGAGATAACAAAGCAAAGCATGTGGTGGCCTCACTTGTCGTTGAAGGGGCTGGCAGCCATCTCCGATGACACGTCCACCACAAAGACAAGCTTCTCCCCACTCGCCATCCCGACAGCACTGTCACACTGCGCGCTTCAAAAAAAAAGGGAAGTTGATCAGGACGAGATTCGAACTCGCGCCTCCGAAGAGATACGGACCTGAACCGTACGCCTTAGACCAACTCGGCCACCTGATCGCTTGGAAAAGGGCGCAAAATTAACTAATACAAACATTATCCAGACGCGGAATCCGCGAAAAAAACACGAGGCTGGGTCCCAGCAAAGCAAAAGGGAAAGGGATGATCAGGACGAGATTCGAACTCGCGCCTCCGAAGAGATACGGACCTGAACCGTACGCCTTAGACCAACTCGGCCACCTGATCGACGTGTCGGTAGATAGAATCCGTGTCACATCAACAACCATATCGCCTGAACACCACCCACAGCGCATGCAGAACGCCCAACTACACACTCACCAACACAGCGTGATCGCATCTTCATCGCAGCAGAGTGTATTATGCCTGAGGCTCAACAGTCGAGGCTCAATCAAGCAGTCATCACCAAAACAACAACAAAAGGCGGAAACAAATGTGACTCATACCAGGAGTGGATCTGCAAGACAACACAAAGAGAAACGAGAGAGTTCGGCGCAACAACAACAATCACGACAATGACGACAGAGCGCAACCACAACACAATCAGTGCATGCACGGAGGGATCGAGAGAATGGAACCCTCCAGCACCCGAACAGAAAGAATAGCACTGAAAACGACACGCACAGAAGCGGCACTTGACGCCTTCGGCGGCAACAACGATGAGCAGCTCAACCACCAACGAAACACGCACACACACACACACACACACACACACACACACACACACACACACACACACGCACACACACACACACAAACTTCAAACGGCTCGCAGACTACTTGAACTCCGGAGTGCGCTCAATGAGGATGCCCAGTGTAACGGCAGCACCCGTGCTCACGGCAACAAAAAACGCCGTGGTGACAAGCAGGGCGTTGTCCATGTGCAAGTCCAGGGACTTGAGGACAGCAGACACAAACGCAGCCGTGCCGTCAATGGCCAGCCACACGTACAGCACTGCATGTCATCATGTCGGGAACAAGCAAGCACGTGAGCGGGCGAGCGTGCGGCCCAGTAAACGCCCAAGCAAAAGGAAATGCAGCACAAACGCGCGTGCAACATCACCACCACACGACACACAGGTGCCAGGTATGCCAGTCAGACCACTCCACAAGCACAACATTTGAAAGTCAGCGCAGCAGCAACGGCATCAAGACACCGGCAGCCGCGTACGCACCGATGAACGCAGACGATTCGGTGCCAAGCTTGTCGAGACCATAACCAATAGTGACAACTGGAGTTGGACATCACCACATCAGACACGTGCGTGAGCGCGTACAAGATAACACAAACGTGTGGTGGATGTGGCGGTATGACTGATGTGTGACAACAACACGGCGACAGTGGGACGAACAAGGGTGGTGATGAAGTCGGCAGGGACACCGACAAGCGTGGCAGCAGCACGATGACCCAGCACGCATGCGCACAAGCCACAAGCAAGCAAGTTTGCTGTCACAGTCGAAACGCACTGGCAAGGATGCTGGTGACAGCGCCAAAGGTCCAGTGCAGGTAGTTGAACAGCCACCGCCTGAAGAGGATGCGAAGGAGAACGGCATGAGAAAGGGTGTTCAAAGAAGTGGGGGCACAACGAATGACACAGTCGTCAAGCACACACACACACACACACACACACACACACACACACACACACACACACACACACACACACACACACACACACACACACACACACACACACACACACACACCTTGGCCCGTGATCATCGGGGTCCTTTGAGTCCTCTGGCTTTCCGCTGATGATGTTGCGGGTGAATCCAAGCAGGCCCTGATAGATGAAAACCAAGGACCAAGGGAGGAGCGTTGGACTCGGTAAGAACACACGCTCTCAAACAGGGAATCAATGAGCAGGGGAACAAAAGACAGACATGTACACACACGCACACACTTGCGCAGGCTGTCATTCATACACACATGCATGCATATGCACGCATACATACCTGAAAGAGGCAGAAGCTGAACACAAGAACGCCCAAGACCTCGTGTGTTCCATACTGAAATTCACCAAGATCCTCAAAGATGATCACAAACCCAGCCGTCGTCAGCATGATTGCCCCAAGCTGCTCACGTGGATGAACGAGTGTACATGGGTGTGTGCGTGTATGTACATGTGTATGTGCGTGCGTGTATACACATGTGTGTGCGTGAGGTGGTTTCGTCGTGAGCAGCAGCATGACAGGAAAGGATGCCCGGACACCACAACCAAGAAGCACAAACCGCCCAATCAGCCCAATCAGCCCAATCAGCGCGCATGTACGCCAAACACACGCTTGTGCGGATTGCAACACGCACCTGCATGTACTTGTGCAACGAAAACCATGCGGGCCCAACAAACTTGATGTTGTGGGCAATGAATATGGCTGACGGGGAGAGAAGAATCCACGCCGCCACCATCAACAACCCTATGTCCGTTGCAATCATGGAGGAGAAAGCATATATCGGCATTAGCGACTGCGACAACGTCACGCACTAGGTGTGTGTGGCTACACGTGAAGCATACACGGCTCAAACGAATACACAAGGCGCACACAAGGCACGCACTCACACACACACACACACACACACACACACACACACACACACACATACCGTGGACAATTGTGGCTGTGCGGGCGTTGGTTGGGTTGGTCGTCGTGACCGTGCCAGTGCTCCTCAGATCAATGGTACTCGCTGAAATACTGCATGAAGTTGATGCGCGCACAAAAGGAGAGTTGTTGTAAACTTGTGAGTGCCAAAGACGAGCAACTTTGGGGTAACAGGCAACACATCGTTGACGTGATGGGCTCCCTCCATACGTACATGCGCGCGCACACACACTGCACACACGCTACACATGCCGCACACAGATGCACATGCACACAAGCACACACACACACACGCGCGTACATGGGAGAAGCTGCCTGGCCGGTGGGTGCATGCATCGCAAAATCACCGGAACCAAACGCGACCAACACGTAATACGTCTGCAAAACAGAAAGCAGCACAAGTGAGAAGTCGGTTGTGTGGCATGAGTTGCGACCATCCACACAACGAACACGACAACAGCACTCACTCTGCTCTCAAACAACAATATGATGCCGCATCCAGCACACACACACACGCGCACACACACACACACACATAACACACACGTTCTCGCTTGAAGTGAAGTCGGCGTCGTTGCTGTTGATGGGCTCCAGCTGGCGCGAAAACTCCACGTGGAAGGTCGTGCTGTTCACGGCACCGGCAATGCCATCAATACCGCTCTGGTCCGCATCTGTCATCGGTAATAAAGATGGTGTTGCGCACAGGTGAGCTGAGGACACCGCTTCCAAAGCGAAATGCACAAACTGATGATGGTTCATTGCACAGCACCCACAGTGCCGCTCTCGTCCAACCACACACACACACACACACACACACACACATGCATGCATACACACACACACGCGCGCGCGCGCATGCATGCATACACACTCTCACATACACAATCTCCCGCTCATTACACACACAAACACACACACACACGCGCATACACAGCAGGGCCTACCTGCTGGCGGCCGTGCGTATTGGGATGCCCAACGGTTGACGACAGAGACGCGGCCCTCAGCGTCAATGTGCGCTGTCAACACATCAGAGTTGGGCTGCAGCAACGTGTGGGCATGCGTGTATGATTGTGTCAGCGTGTGCAAGCAGTTCAATGAGCACATGCGTATTGTGTGTGTGCGTGAGGTGTATGTATGTGTGTGCTGTGGTGAACCTGGTGGTGTGTTCATCGGCGCATCTCCACAAAACGCCATGCAACGCACACATCCAACCAGTTCCCCATTTCAACCACATTCGTCGTCCCGTGCCACACACACACATACATACATACGAGAGTCGACTCACTCACCATCTGCGGCGTTGTGGAGAAGGCGATGCCGGCCCAAGTCACATCCGAGCGCCCGCGAATGATCAGCTGCACAAACAAACACACACACACACGCATACACACACACACATACACGCACACACACATACACGCACACACGCACACACACACACGCGCAGCATCCAGAGTGGTGTTGTGAGCGTTGCATGTATGGAGACGACACGCAACTGCACACACATTCAGTAGGCCTCACGTTCATGCGCAATACAACGCACCCACCCATCCACGAGCGCGATGCGTGTCCACAAATACACATATCCACATGCACACGCAACCACACACGCACAACCACACACGCACAACCACGTGCGCACACAAGCCCTCACACCTCAAAGTGCATACGCGCTCCTTCGCGACCCCAGCGCGCCTCCACGGGGCAGTCAAAGGTGCAGCCAGCCGTCGTGAGCGAACTGCCAAGACTAAAGTCCTTGTCTGCCATGTATGTGTTCGTAATTGTTGGGGGGAGGACACACGGTGGTGAGACACTCTTGGCGCGTGCAGGGGACCACGCACACGTACACACACACGTATACACACGTACACACACACGTATACACACGTAAACATAAATACGCATGCACACGCACAAGGCTCGTGTAAAGAATGCACACAAAGGTTACTAGCTATCAGCTTGCGCAACAACACCAACAGCATGCACAGTGGTGGTCGCACGATACCAGAAATTGGGAGGCAGAGGAGCGGGGACTTCTCAAACCCGGTCTTGCACACCGTACACGCGCGCGTCGCGTCCTCGCACGTCTCGCACGCGCTGTCACACGCTGTATCGCCGCACCAATAACAGACACACGTCAGGTGTGACAGTGGACGCAAGCACACAAGGCGTGATATGTAGGGAAACGTGAGAATTCAAACCGGCGTCCAGCATGTACCAACCCACCAATTAATGCTTACACACACTCGCACTCACGCAAGTGCACCACTGCACGACAAAGACACACTCATGCACAAAAACATACACACACACACCATAATACACACACACGCAAATACACACACACACACAGTCTCTCTCTGTCTCTCTCTCTCTCTGTACCGAGCAGATAGCCATGATCAATAACACTTGAAACGGCCGACAGGACAAACACACCCCTAACCCCGTTTACTCGCAGGATTGTAGACACAAGCCTTTGGGTAGAGTAAGCTCTTCCTGCCTGTATGTTAGCTGTAATAACCAGATTGGCTTACGCCAAACGCAACAAACCCGCTTAGCGTAACTCTCTCTCTCTCTCTCTCTCTCTCTCTCTCTCTCTCTCTCTCTCTCTCTCTCTCTCTCTCTCTCTCTCTCTCTCTCCTTACGTCTGCAGGAGTCGGTGTTCTTGCTTGTGCGATTGCCATTAATTTCGTAAAAGCCGTCTAAGCAGGGGCCACACGTGTCGGGAACACTCGCGTACTCGCATGCGGTTCTGTTCAGGGCAGCACAGTCTGCAGAGAGGCCGGAGCAGGTGTTTGTTGTTGTCGTTGTCGTTGTTGTCGTTGTCGTGGTGGTGGTTCCCGTGGTTGCCGATGCTGATGGCGAGATGACGGTGTTGAAGATCCAAAACCGTCCGCTGTTCCGGCTCATCTGGTCCAGCGTCGTCGTGCGAAAGTCCACATCACCGGCCGCGGGCGCCTGCCACGAGAAGGAGATGCTGGTCACGCCGAGCTGCTCCGAGTGCGTGACTGCTTCGTTGGAGCACGTGAGGCGGTTGCGCGCACCAGCGGTCAGCGTTCCTTCCTGCACCCGGACCAGAAAGCCGGCAAACGAGATGGACCCGCTCACCGTCACTGGTGCATGATGGCACGCGAGGAGGTTGGTTGGCAGGTGGAGAGGCACCCGTAATGTGAGGGAAAGTGTGTGTGTGTGTGTATGTGTGTGTGTGTGTGTGTGTGTGTGTGTGTGTGTGTGTGTGTGTGTGTGTGTGTGTGTGTGTGTGTGCGTGCGTCGATGCCATGCACTCCCTGCTTTCCTTTCATTCTTGTAGTCACTCTGAGCATCCACGCACTCGCATACACACATACACACACTCTCTCGCACACACACATACACACACACATTCGCATCCACACACATACACACACATACACACACATATACATACATACAAACACACACCTGTGTACTGCTGGTTGGGCGTGTACCCGCCACTGACGGATGGAGAAAAGCTGAGGGAGAAGCCACCGTTGCCGCTTTGCAATGTGCCGTGCGACGTGGACGAGCCCGAACCACCGCCTGGTCGCCCATACGTGCACGCGCCAGCGCCGGCGCCAGACGGATACGCAAACGCCGATGGCAGCGATACCACTGCCACAAGCACGGTCACCAGACCAACTGCCAGGATTGCAGCCGCCGGTGGTGTTTGTCTGCGAGGCTGCATGGTTGCCGCTTTCAGCAAGCGTCGGAATAGCAAGCGGGTCGTCGCCGCGTGAGTTTGCTTGTGCGTCTCGTCCGCGCGCTGCTGCTGCTCTGTGTGTGTGTGCGTGTGTGTGCGTGTGTGTGTGTGTGTGCGTGTGTGTGTGTGTGTGTGCGTGTGTGTGTGTGTGTGTGTGTGTGTGTGTGTGTGTGTGTGTGTGTGTGTGTGTGTGTGTGTGTGTGTGTGTGTGTGTGTGTGTGTGTGTGGTGCGTGCGAGGTGGTGCGTGCGCGAGGGGCGGTGGGTGAGAGTGTGTTCGCTGTGAAACGGCAAATGTTGAGGGCCATGGGTTGGCGAGCAAGCGAAGCAACTCCACATCACCGTGTCACACAACACACACACACACACACACATCCCACGAACAACAAGCTGGCTCGATGGGCGGCAACCAATCGCGCTCGTGGATGGGAACGTGCCACACACACACACACACACACACACACACACACACACACACACAGATCACACACAAACACAGATCACACACACACACACACAGATCACACGCGACAAATGAAGCTGCATGATGGCGTCATCATCATCGTCAATCATCAACATCGCAACGAGCAAGACGTGCATGCTCATGACGATGGTGCATTGTATCCCATCGATCATGTGTTGTTGGCACGGCGCACACATCGGAATCTTCAAGGCACGGAAACGGGAGCCGCGGAAACACACCACACAGACAAATTGCATGCCCAGACACACACGACCATGGGTGGTACACTCACGGAGTTCCCTTTCTTGTTTGTGGATCCTTTGTGTCAAGCCTTGCTCGATCCACACTGGCTGGTCGTGAAGAGATGTTCACAACAACTCGGCTTCATGGGAAATGCACCACGAACACACAAGCCACTCGTAGGCCAAACCCCAGAACCAACAAACCAAAATGGCTCGCCTGCGTTCTTGTCTGTTTCGCTTGTTTCGCGAACAGGCACTGGCAGCCCTCCCGCTTTCATCGCTTCTTACGCTGTGATTGCTGGTTTGTTGTTGTCCCCCCTCCTGCGAGGCTGCTGTCCTTCCATCCCTCTCAAGTTGTCACTCATGGAGTTCCCATGAGTTCTGTTTCCCCACGAAATTGTGGCAAATCCACATTTGCCACACCCCAATTTACCAGCATTGCGTTTCTTCACCAATAACACCAACAAATATTCGGCATTCCTCATCGCCCACACACCCCCAAAGCAAACAAACAAAAAAACTGACAGCCAACCAAGCAAGCAGCGAAGGGAAACCGCAACGCAGAGCGCACAATCACACACAACTTCTTCCCTTCTTCCTTGCTCAGTTGCTTGCTTCTTGTGGTTGCTCCCGCTCCCCCACCTCGACAACTTCTTCCCAGACGCACGCCCACGCACTCGCGCACGTCGCCGCCTGCACGGGGCGGACATTGCTTTGCTTCTTCGACAACCACGAGGGAACCAGCATCACCAACCCCCACCCTCCTCGTTTTGCACGTTGCAGCTAACAGAAGGACGCCCAGACACACACGTCGACAACTACAGCAACGTCAACAAACACACACACACACACAACAAACACCCGCACACACATAATACACGCACACAACAACACACATACACACACAGGACCGCCCGTCTCTGTGGTCGCAAGCAACTCAAGCTTGATTGGGGTGTCTTCACCGGGCTCTTCATCCCCGTTTCCACCAAGGTACGCGTCAACACCTGCCGTTGTCCCTGTCGACACAGAGAGCCACGCGGTGTTGACACAGACAGACATGGTCGTGCTCTGTCAACCAGCTGCTGATGACTTGCGCACACCCATGGTGGTTACGTTGCTGGGTGGGAGGGGGATGGGCGACAGACACGTTGCTGTTCATAGAGATAGAGAGAGAGTGTGTGTGTGTGTGTGTGTCAATGTGAGTGAGAGGATGTTCCCCTCAAAGTTTGTGGCCATGGTGTATCATGTGCCCCATTCCCTGGCGCTATTGCCCAACACCCCACACAAGCACACGCGTTTCTGTACAAACACACCTGTGAACCTCACGTGCACACACACACACACACATACACGCGCACGCACAAACACACTCACAAACGCACGCACATCCGTGCAGAGCGCAACCTCAGCCATGTCTGGCCGACAAGCAGCCACGCGAAAGCTGCTGCAGGAGATGAGGCAGCTGCAGAAGGAGCCCATTGATGGTGCCATCATCGACGTCGATGAAGACAACATCTTCAGCTGGAAAATCGCCCTCTTTGGCCCTCCCGACACACCATATGCTGGTGGCTACTTCAAGGTGCTGCCCCCTACCCTCATGTGTGCGTGTTGCGCACGTGTGTGTGTGTGCGTCATGTGCGCGTGCTTTTGCGTGCACGTGTGCTCGTGTGTCTCATGGAAGCTGTTGCCCATGCGTCGTTTGTTCATCCCCACAACCCGTTCACACGCGCGTGCCTATTTTTGTTTGCCACGGCACAGGCTCGTCTCGACTTTCCCGACACATACCCATTCAACCCTCCCAACATGCGCTTCACAAGCCGTATCTGGCACCCAAACGTCTTCCCCGTGAGTCCTGCACTTGTGATGCGTGCATGTCGTGTTCTTGTGTGTGTGTGTGTGTGTGTGTGTGTGTGTGTGTGTGTGTGTGTGTGTGTGTGTGTGCATGTGTGTGTGTGTCGTGCTGTTGCATATTATTCTCTGTTGCTCTCTCCGCCTCCAACACGCGGTTTGCTGCATCACTTTCGCCGTGCTCACGCCACACCGGTATCAACGGCTGCCGGTTCATGGCCGTTTCCAGAACGGCAACATCTGCATCTCCATCCTGCACTCCCCTGGCACGGACCACCTCAGCGGCGAGAGGCCCGAGGAGCGCTGGAACCCAACCCAAACCGTCAGGTGCACACACCCGCTCTGCACGTGTTTTTTGTGTGTGTATGTGTGTATATGTGCGTGTCTGTTTGTCTGTGTCTCTGCGTTGCGTTTTGTCTGCCCGTTCTGTTTGTGTATCTCGGGTTGTGTGTGTATGTGTGTGTGTGTGTGGATGTGAGTGAGAGTGTGTGTGTGTGTATGTGGATGTGAGTGTGTGTGTGTGTGTGTGTGTGTGTGTGTGTGTGTGTGGATGTGAGTGCATGCGCTTGAGTGATACACGTGAACATTTCCGTTGTTTCCATTTTGTGTCCCCCCCCCCAACCTCACATCTCACCACAACAATGTCACTCCCCCCCCCCCAACCAACACATACACGCTTTGCATGACAGGACGATTCTGTTGTCTGTGATTTCGATACTGAATGAGCCCAACACATCGTCGCCTGCAAACGTGGATGCGAACGTGTCGTTCCTCAAGTACAAGCGCGGCGAAAGCGACGACTACCTGCAGCGTGTCAAACACGACGTGCAGGCGTCACAGCGGCTGGCAAAGGAGGATGGTGTCACCATCCCCTCCTCCATCGATGACTACGTCATCAAGCACAAGCCTGTCGAGGAGTGAGTGCTTGCAAGCAACAGACACGTGTGCAAGTGCGGAGTGGGACATGTGGAGGAGCGGTGAAAGTATACATGTGGTGACAGTACACTTTTGGTGAAGGTGCACTCGTGTGTCATGGCTTGGCATGAGTGCTTTGTCCAGAAACGTGTGTGCGTGTGCTTGCATTATGTGCCTGTGCGTGCCCGTGCCTTGGTCATGTGTGCGTGCGTGCGTGCGTGCATGTATCTGCACGTGTGACGCCATCTAATATCCCCCAACTGTGTTGCGTGCCTTTGTACCCCGCATCACCAGGCCCGTTCTGACTGCCGACGACCTGATGGACTCAGACGTGCGTATGCGTATCCCTGTCGTTTACCTATGTTGCTTGTGGATTCGCATGCGTGACGGTCTTGTTTCAAAGTTGTTGCCCACATGCATACATGCATGCATGTACAGCAAGCAACCACGTTCGTGCATCCTCACACACACACACACATACATACACACATGCACACATACACTCACTCACTCACATCACTCACTCACTCACTCACATCACACACACTCACATCACACTCATATCACACACACACACACTCACATCACACACACAACACATCACGCGCGTGCGTGCTGGTGTGCAGGTTGCCGACAGCGATGAGGACTACGATTACGACCACGACAGCGAGGGAGACGACGAAGACGCAAACGATGAACACATGGGGGAAGGACATGACGTTGCTGATGGCTGTGGTGATGGCGAAGTGGATGATGGCGGTAGGGAGGAGCCAGAGCAGGAGGACAACTGATGGCATGCGGTGCAACCCAACAACATCTTTGTCCCGCAGCACCCAAGTCATGTGATTGTATCTCTGTGCTTGTGTTGGGCGTGTCACCTGTGCCTCCTCCTCCTCTTCTGTGAACCTGTATTCCTCTCCCCTCTTTTCCGCTTCTTTCTCCTCCCCCCTTTCCCTGTCTCGTGCTTGTCGCTGTCACTCTTTGCTCGCAGTCAACGCTTGCACTTCCTGTTTCTCTTTCTCCTTCTCTTCCTCTTTCCTTCCCCCCTTCTCCCCCTGTTTCCGTCTCTTTCTTCCTTTTCCATGTCTCCCTTCATGTGTGTTTGAGAGCTCGTGCTTGTCTGCCTCCCTGCCTGCCTGCATGGTTGTCCCCGTCTGTTTGTTTGCAGTCCACGTATTTCGCCCTGATTAAACGGCTGTGAATGCTTGCTCCATGCATGCATGTAAACACCAAGAGGAATATGTGTGTGATTGTGTGTGTGTGTGTTTGGTTAAGAGCGACGCTTGGCATTATTCTACATATGTCGTTTATGAGGCTGAGCGTGCAATAAAGCAAACGCACGCGCGCGCACACACACACACACACTTGCGCGCGCACAATTACACATGCGCGCATGAAAAACTGTCGCCTGTGGTGTGTGGTCCTATGGTGGTGCCCACACCTGCACCTTCCCGCCTGTGCTAGCAGAGAGCAACAAGTGCTGTTGGGAAAACAAGATAGTGGAGTGAAGGTGGATGCGTGAGATAGATTGACGGTGGCACTTGAACATGTACTCGTGCAGCAAAGGTGAATGTGTCCACCATGAGACGCACACAGGCACACACGCATGTGATGCGTGCGGTTGAAAGTACCTTGGATGGATGGTACGCAAGAGAACATATGACGCTGGAGTCTGCCTTGAAATCTGCAAGCATCGTCTTCTTGACCTGAACGCGTACGCACACACGTCAATCCACACGCATGCATGTACGCATGCATGTACACATGCATAAGCATGTGTCACTAATGAGGACCACGTGAAGCGCGTGAAGACATTTCCACCCACGCACACACACACACACGCACACACAATACACACAATACACACACGCACACACACACAACACACACACAATGCACACACAATGCACACACACACATAATGCACACACACACACACAATACACGCGCGCACATCCACCGCAAACGCACCAGGTCCCACATGACAATACGCCCGTCCTCCGATCCGCCAACAACGACAGCGTCGTCAAAGCTCAGCGTGCAGTCCACTTTGTAGTCGGTGTTCTTGTGCCCCTCATACCGCGCCAGCATCTTTCCATCGTCCTTGTCAAGTAACCTGTGCACGCACGCGCGTATGTGTGAGCGTATGGGTTTGGTTGATGGCCATTACTCAAACGGCAAAAAGCAGCAGCAGCAGCAACAACAACAACAACTTAAACAACAACAACAACAACAACAACAACAACTTAAACAACAACTTAAACAACAACTTACACAACTTAAACAACTTAAACAACTTAAACAACTTAAACAAGAAGGCCGCTGCATCATACTGAGTGTACGCGAAGATGACACAAGAGACACGCCCACACCACCTGATATTTGAGTCGAGAGTGGCAGCCAGGATGCAGTTGTTGTCGTTTGAGAAGCGGGCAGAGGTGACCGCGTCGCTCAGTCGGTCCTGATACATGCGCCCCATGCGGATGTCATAACGCCGCACGTGCCCGTCCACGGCCGCTGTCAGGATCTCGTGGTCGCTCACATCCACCGCAGGTATGCTGCCATTTCATGTGTGTGTGTATGTGTGTGTGTGTGTGTGTGTATGTGTGTGTGTGCGTGTGTGCGTGTGTGCGTGTGTGCATGTGTGCGTGTGTGCGTGTGTGCGTGTGTGCATGTGTGCGTGTGTGCGTGTGTGTGTGTGTGTGTGTGTGTGTATGTGTGTGTGTGTGTGTGTGTGTGTGTGTGTTGAGTGCCGTTGCGACAAAGGTGTGCGGGACATCCATGTGCACTCCGGTCCGTCCACAAGACACCACATGGAGGGCGATGCACGCAACAGAGAGGTGCACATGCACACGTGCGCGTACACCGAGGCAGGTAGTACACACACACATACACACACCTGTCTTTTGCCTCTGAAAGCGTTTGAATGGGTTCTCGACTGCAACATGCAATCAAAGCGACGGCAAGTGTTTGTTTGTTTGTTAGACATCAGAGGGAAGGGATGACAAACGCGTGCGTTGACTGCACGTGCCAGCGAACACGTTGTTGTAGCCACACAGCATGCACGCATGCGAAAAAAAAAAAACACACTCACCCACACACTCATTCACATTCACACTCATCCACACACTCACCCACACACTCACCCACACACTCACTCACACACTCACCACACACTCACCCACACACTCGTCCACACTCCTCTCACCCACACACCCATTCACGCGTGTACGCACCTTGATGAGCGAAGATCCCACAGCTTGGCTGTTGCATCATACGATCCAGACACGGCAACAGTGCCCTCCTCGTTCAAACGGATACAGTTGATGCGTTGGCCGTGGGCCCTGTACTTGCGGATGGGCTTGCCTGATGCCACGTCCCAATAAATGACCATCTTGTCAGCACTGCACGACAGAAACGTCGAGTTGCCAGGCGATCTATTGGTGGCAATCCGTCGTGTGTTGTAAGCAACAGTCAGACACATGTTGGATGTGGTTTGATGTGCACAGCATATGGGAAGCGCAGGCGCGTGCACGTGTCATGTTGTGTTGAACCAACGCAAACACCACCAAAGAGGAGCAAAACAGACAAAGATGTTGCAGCATGATCCATGGCACAGCGCAACCACGTGTGCTGCACTCGACACCATTTGGAGACCCACATCACGACTCACGCGCACGCATCGTTGACTTCAAAGCCGTGTCCCTGGTATGTCTTGATGAGCATTTGTGTATGGGGGTTCCACAGTTTGACGAGCCGGTCTTTGCCACACGTCAAGCAATATTGCCCATCAACTGCAAGCGCAGCAGAGACAAGAGAAGGTGAGTGCAAACCCACACCGTTTGCTTGAACCGTCGAGCGGGTGCATGGTCTCACGTACATTGGGTGCCATGCACAAGATGCCATGCACAAGTTTGCATGCACAGGGTGCCATGTACAGGTGCAGAGTTGCATGCACAAAGTGGCATGCACACACACACACACACACACATACACACACACACACACACACACACACACACACACACACACACACACACACACACACACACACACACACACACACACACACACACACACACACACACACACACACACACACACACACACACACACACACACACACACCGTTGAAGCGCACTGCCATGACAGGGCCAACATGTCCATCAAGGGTGCCAACGCATTTCGTCGGCCGGTCCCCACTTGTCGCCATCCCCCTTTGACAACAACAGCAGCAACAACGAAGCACACAGTCAACTGCGGTCGTCCCCGTGCTTTGCTTGTAGTTGCCTGCTTGTTTGCTCGCTTGTTGTTTGCTTGCTTCTCTTGCTTGCTTGCTTGGAATTTTGCCGGACACGACCTGCCTGCCATTTCAAGCGCTTTCTCCGCTGTTGTGCAACCACCCCGGATACGCGCACACCCAGCCACAGCAGCCAAGAGAACAGCAGCAGCCACCATGCGCTGAGCCGCGCCTCGTCAACACACACACACACCACACCACACAAGTACAGCACACACATACGCAGCACACACACGTACACCACGCACGTTCAACTCCTCACTTTCCGTTCATCACGTGAGTGGTGGTGTTGCTGCTTCGTCACAGTCACGCGATCGCCTCCGCGTCCAACCTCTTCCAGTCCGAAGTTGCACCTTGTTGCCACCAACCACCGTGCCTCCTTCTTCCTCCTTGTTGCTTGCTCAAGGTTTTCTTCAATCAGCACCAGGCACCGCCGGCAGGCCGGTGTTTCTCGCTTCTAGCTTCCTTCAGTTTGTGATATCGGCAAGATAGCCAACCACACAGCAGCAGTGGTCACACAGCGCCAGGAGTCGCAGTATCCTCGCACACCACTGCCACGCCATTTTCCACCTGATTCCCTTGCCCACACTGGCAACAACCAACAAGTGCAACCCAGACCAGGCATGCCGCGTTCGAAGCACACGGATGCCGACGGCGGCGCCCGCGCAGGTCACGGCCATGTGCGCGTTGCATGGCGCATCCTGGCCGTGTGCGCCGTGGCCTTTTGCATCAACTGCCAGCCATCCGAACCGTACCTCACCCAGTATCTGCAAGAGGTGAAGAACCTGACCGAATCGCAGCTGGACACCATCGTGTGGCCCTCCGAGCTGTACGCCAACCTGGCCTTCATGCTTCCTGTCGGCTTTGCTGCCGAGCAGATTGGCTACGTGCCCATTGTCTTCTTCGGCCTGCTGTGCCGCGAGGCCACCCGCGTCGTGCTCATCTTCAGCAGGTCCCTGGAAATGATGGTGGTCACGCAGATCACCTACGCCATCGCCAGCGTCGCCAACTCGGTGCTCCTCAGCTACATGTACCTCGTCGTGCCGACGTCCAGCTTCCTGCTGGGCTCACTCCTCTTCAAGGCCAGCTACACCGGCGGCAACATGGTCGGCTCCGCGCTTGGCCAGCTCCTCTACGACTATGCCGGTGTCAGTCTCAAGGGCCTCTTCTATGCATCGTGGGTCTTCACCAGTATTGGCTTCCTCACCTTCAGCTTTGCGCGGCCAAGCAAGCTTCCGGCAACCGACGATGAGGATGCTAACAGCGGCGGCAGCAACACTGATGACGGTGGTGGTCGCAGTGAAGATGCGATCGAATACGAAGACCATCCCAGCTCAGCAACAACCGGCACCCGACAACACGGCTCGTCGCCGTCGTCACGGCAACAGCACCACCACCAGCAATCCTTGCAGTTTCGCTCTGATAACGACAACAACAGCAGCCTCAACAACAACAGCAGCGACGGAGGTGGTTCTGCTGGCCTTGGTGTTGATCGTGATGTCGATGTTGAAGCTTACGGCGGCAGGTACGCCAGCCACGACCACGACCACGACTACGACGACGACCACCACCACGGCCATCGCACGGCCGATGATGATTGGGCCTGGGACGATGACGAGGGCGACGATCGCTGCGGCCTTGGTGACGACCCGCGTGCCCCTGCTGCTGCTTTTCGCGGTGGTGGTGGCGGTGGACGCGCTCACGGGGTTGGTGTTGGCGGGGATAGTGATGGCCGTAATAACGGCCGTAGTGATGCCAGCGGCGGTGGCGTCGGCGGTGGTGGTGGTGGTGGTGGTGGTGGTGGTGGTGGTGACGAGCGGTGGCAGCACAGCGGCGCGCCAGCGATGATCGTTGATTTTCGCGGCACGGACCCTGTCAAGCTGCAGCGCAGCGAGCGAGCGCGGGCGGGCTGGGATGACGATGAGCACGCGCAGGATGAGAAAGCACCTCTGCTTCAGACGGCATCACCAGCACTATCGTCGTCGTCATCACCACGACCGCTGTCGTCACAGCAACACGGCCATTCGCAGCGCCACGATTGCACACGTGCGCCAGAGCAGGTGCGAGTGCGTCGACGCGACACACAGCCAGCCGGTCGTGGTTGGCTCGCTATTGCCAGGCATAAGGCGGTGCAGTACGCTAGCCTGTACAACCACAGCCTGGTGCTGCTGTGGTCTCTGTGGTGGGTGTTTGCATATGGCAGCAACGTCCTGTTTGGCAACTACTACCAGACGCTGCTGTACAACCACTACACGAACGTGCCATTTGGGTGGATTGAGTGCGGCATCGAGGTTGGTGGCACGGCAGGCAGCCTGGTTCAGATTGGCGTTGCGCATCGCTATGTCAACAGTCGCGTGTCTCCGCTCGTGGCCGCTGTTTGCCTGGCCGCTGTCTCCGCGCTGGCACAGATCATCTGGGCCGACCTTCCGGTCACGGCTGCGGTGTACTGCCTCTTCTTTGCCGTCTTTGAGGGTACGCTTGGCCTGGCCTCTGCTGGCATTGCCGCGCACCTGAGCGAGCGCCGGTTTGCGCTGGTGTTCACCACCAACAGCTTCATCTCCCTTGCCCTCATGGCGGCCGTGTCTGCGATTGCCTCTGCCCTCAACGCAGACACAGTGGCCTACTTCCGCATCATCATGGGCATGACGGCGCTTGGGCTTGTTGTCATCACGCTCTACCTCGCCATCTCGCGGTGTCTGCGCCGTCGCCGCCGCGCCCGCCAGCGCCGCGTGTATGGATACAGACACGTGCGTCGGGCACACGACGAGCAGCAAGCGCTCATCAACTAACCGCCATGTTGTCGGTGTGATTGCGTATGTGTTTGTGTGTGTGTATGTGTTTGTGTGTGTGTGTGTGTGTGTGTGTGTGTTTGTGTCTCTATTTGTGTCTTTGTCTGTGTGTGTGTGTGTTGGTGGTTAAACCTACCTGTGTGTGTTGGTGTAGCTGAGTCTGCTTGTTGTGTGTGTGTGTGTGTGTGTGTGCCCGAGTATCTGTGTGTCGCTTTCTCTGTGAATGCGAGTGTGACCGTTGCGCGCTTCCTTGCGTCTGCACTTTGCTTCCGTTCTTGTGCGTTACACGCGGGCTATCGTTATCATGCCCACCCATTAGACTTGTCTGTAGTCGTAGTTTACAAGTCGTGATATGCAATGCATTAAACAGAGCAGCCAGCCGATCAATTTGGTAGTGTGCAACATGGGGTCATATAAAGAAGCCGGGGGAACGCAATCTTGAGTGTGGGCCACCAATGTGAAGTGACATGTGGTGTGGACAAGTGATGGGGTGTGACAGCGAAGCGATATGGCCGTCGTGTGATGTCATGTCATGTCATGTCATGATGCGAGATAACAAACAACGAATCAAAAGGACGAACAAAGGTAATGATGAACCAGCATGTCAGAAGTTGAGTCTAAACCGGCCAGGGCAAAGCAAGCGGTTGATGAGTGTGACAAAGGCGAGGGAGTTGCAGGAAGTGCGCACAGACGCCGCGCGACAATTGAGTGCAGGGCCACAACATGCCGCGTGCTTGTGTGGTGGTTGGTTTGATGCTTGGCCCCTGCGATTGCGTTGGCTCAGTTGAACCAAATGCGAAAGCTGTCGAGAAACGTGTGCGAGCGCGCGACGACGCTGTAGAACTCGTAGTACGAGATGCATGCGTCTCCATCAAGGTCGGCCTGCTTGATGGTCTTCTTCACAATCTCCTCCACCTGGCCTGGGGTGATCACGCTTCTCGCTTGCACCTCCCCCTCCTCGGCATGCACCTGTGCTTCGTCCTGTGGGTGTTGTGAGAGCCATTGTGCGAGCAGGCGATCGTGTGAGTGTGTGGCGCGTGATGCATGCGTTTTGGTTTGATTTGGGTTTGGGAGGAGAGGACGTGCCGGTGATTCAGATTTGTGGTGATGATGTTGGTGGTGGTGCGTGTTGGTTGGTCGTGTGTATTGGTGATGCGCTGTGGTGTGTGCTCAGTTCAAGCACTTGCTCCGGGTGTTGTGTGCTGAACGCAGAGCGGCGTGTGTGGGGAGGTGGGGCAACACTGTAAAGGCAGGGTGTCCAAAAGGGGTCAACCACTTACAAGATCGGAGAGTGGGGCGTCGTCTGCGAAGCACTCTTCGTTGTCGTCTTTGCGTCCACACAACCTGGACACCACCTCAAACAGGTCTGCAGCATCAATCTTGCCATCATCATTGAAGTCTAGTGTGTGTGTGTGTGTGTGTGTGTGTGTGTGTGTGTGTGTGTGTGTGTGTGTGTGTGTGTGTGTGTGTGTGTGTGTGTGTGTGTGTGTGTGTGTGAGAGAGTGAGTATTTCATTTTCGGTTTGAGAATTGTGGGGTGTCCTGTGGTAGACACGAACACGCACACAGCCATTGCTAGCTTGCACATGCACAAGCGGGACACGCATGCACACGACAGGGAATGTGCGTGCAGACCGTAGATGCGAAAGGCATGGTGGATTTTGGTGCCCAGGGGTGCACTCTCGTGGAACACGGAGAACATCTCCAGGAACTCCAGGAAGGTGAGGTTGCCAGACGAGTCCTCGGAGAACACGTGGCATATTCTCTTCTTGAACGGGTTCTGGTCCAGTTGCGGGATCCTCACAACCTGTGAGTGTGTTGAGTGTATGTGTATGTGTGTGTGTGAGAGTGAGTTGTGGGTGTGTGTGAGTGCGTTGGGTGGGGGGGTGTGGGTGTGGGTGTGGGTGTGTATGTGAGTGTGTGTGTTAATGCACTTGCACTCACGGTTGTGCATTTGTGTGTGTGTGTGGGGGGGGGCTCACATTTTGCCAGGAGAGCCGCGACTCCTCGTCATCCTGTCCCCCGTGCTTTAGATAGAGTCTGTGGATGTGGATGATCTCGCTTCGCGACAGGAAGGTCGCTGCCTGGTACTTCTCCAGGTTCTTGTGCAGCAGCTCGCTTTGGACACCGCCCATAATGTTGTCGTTGGCAGTTTGGTGGATTATGGGATTGCGACAGCAAGAAAACCCGAAATGGCAACGTGTTGCCATTCTGTTGTGTCTCTGGTGGCTGGCTGGCCTGCATGTTTGACCCTGATACACCAACCTGTCGTTGTAACACACGGAAAACCAAGCAAGCGTGTTACCGAATGGCTAAATGATGGGTCTCAGCCTGTCCTGGAGTCTGGAGTGTCCTCAGTTTATTCCCTTTCCTGTGTTTCCGAGCCTGTTGGCTTTTAGGCTGCCCTTACAGAGAGTGCCATGGATGGCTATTCACAAGCGACAACCCACCAACCAACCCAATGTACGTGTTAAACCACAGGCCTCTTGCGCACACAAGCAACACAGCACACAAGTAAGTAACACACAAGCAACACATGCACAAACCTGCACACGCAACGCACACACACGTACACAAAGCACGCAAGCAAAGAAGCAACACACACACATGCACACACGCGCGCGCGCCCTCTCCCTCCTCGTGCTATCGTGGGCCGCCGTCGTCATGATTGGTATCATCGTTGCTGTTGGTGTTGTCGTTGTGGTTGTTGCTGTCTTCGGGGTCGTTGTTCGGTTCTTCGGGTGGCTGGATCTCGATGCGGAGCTTGGCGGCTTCGAGCCTGTGCCAGTGATAGTCGACAAAGTCACGCGAGACACGCAGCACGCCGTGGTCGTCCTTGGCGGCTGCGCGCTTCATGATGCAGGTCTTCTCGTGCTTGCGACGATTGCTGCTGTTGGTGAACCGCTTGCCGCAGAGGCCGCACTGGTATGGCTTGTCTCCGTTGTGGCTGCGTAAGTGTCTCTGGAGGTTGCTGTTGGTGCCAAACGTCCTCTTGCACACACGACACACGTGTGGTCGCACACCTTGCTGCGTGCGCACCCTGCCCGCCGCCGCTGGCGCGCCCTCGCCTCCCCCACGACGGCCAGGTGGCGCGCGGGTGGGTGTGCATCGACGAGTGCAGGCTGGGTTGTACGGCTCTGAGTCGCTGCTGCGTCGAGCCGCCTTCGCTCCCCTCCCTGTTGGTGCGGCTGTTGTGGCTGGTGCAGGCGAAGTGCCTCGCTTGTCGGTTGCCAGTTGTGCCAGCGGTGACGAGGACCAAGACGCGTCCAGTGCTTGTGCCTCCGCGGCTCGCATATCGTGACCATCTCCGTGGTCGGCAGAAGCAAGAGTGACGTCGGATGTCGTGATGGAGGCGGCGTCGGTGTCCGTGACGCTCCCGGCCGAGGCTGGTGCCACAGGCGATCGTGGTTCTTCAGGAGAGCCGAGCCTGTGTTCCACTACGCCCGGTGACAGCTCAAACGAACCCGAAGCCACAGAGCCCTGGTGGCGGACAATTGTAGTTGTACCGCACACGAGCGACACTGATGACGATGCATCACGATCGCGAGCAGATCGAGTCGTCAGTGTCGCTGGCATCGCATCAGCAACCTCACTCGCGCCAGGCACGATTACGGTCTTCTCCACCCCCCTCCCTTCCCCTCCAACCCCGCCTCTCCTGGCCCCCGCGCCAACCTCCAAGCGCGGCTGTTGCTGTTGCTGTCGTGGTTGTGCGTGTTCCTGCCGCAGCTGCACTTGTAGCTCTGGCGACGACGGCGCCTTGCCCGCGAGAGCGCGCACAATATCAGCCCATCGTGGCGTGACATGCGAATTGCTGTGGGTGGACGCGCCTCTTGCTAGCGACCATGCTCGGGATGTTTCGTGTGTATGGTGTTGTTGCTGATGCGATCTAGGTGTTGATGACTGCACATGCAACGTGCAGTCCATGCGGCTGCCGCCCTTGAGGTCGTCTTCGCGTACAGCCGTCGCCTCCATCATCCAACTGTCGTCACCCTTGGCATTGGTAGGAGCATGACGAGAGCGAGCCCCGCTCGCGTCCAATAAGCTGCCATCGCCTTGTCGTTGTGCAACTTGGTCTTGGGCGCCGAAGTTCTCGGTGGCCATATTGGCACGCCGAGTGCCTTGCTGCGCGTCCTTCGCTAAAGTGATCCTGTTGTTGTCTATGGGCTGGACTGGGCTGTCGAGAAGGGAAGATTCGTGCTCATGTCGCATCAGACAGTCGAAGACGGAGCTTAGGGAGCTCGTGCTGGAGTTGCGGGGCAGGTGCGGTTGTTCGCCACTCAAAGTTAGTGCGGCTTTTGCTTCAGGCGTGGCGGCAACGTAAAGTGGAGTCAGGCCGCGACGGTCTGGCATGTCGGTGTGCGCGTGATGTTGTATGAGCGTGTGGATGAGGTCCACAGCCCCAATCTCCGCAGCCGCATGTAGTGGCCCTGCACCGTCTGTCGTGGGTGCGTTCACCAAACACGGCGCTGCGTGTACGAGCCAGGCGACGACTCGGGTTTGCCTCTGGGCCACGGCAAGGTGCAGTGCCGTGGCACCGTGCCTGGGTTCTCGCTCGTCCACAGCTGCGTGACCCTCCGCGACGAGCCACCGTGCGATATGCAGATGCCCTGCAGCGCATGCCGCCAGAAACGGCGTCAACCCCGACGCGCCGCGTGCGCGCAATGCAGTGGGATCCAAGGCCGCCACCGCCTTGAACGCGTCGAGGTCGCCGTGCACCACCGCCCGGTGCGCAAACGCATACACGCCGGAGTCCATGGCGTCGTCTCTGCGTGGATGGAGAGGTTGACAAAGCCGTCAAGAGGGTGGGGGAGAAGTAAGAATTGGCGACGCAGCAGCACGACGAGCCACCTGAGACACAAGGAAGCAACGGGCGCGAGGAAGCCGTTTGGGGGGGGGGGGCCAAGGTGATTGCAATGCTTGAGACGGTCGGAGGACAGATGAAATCCACATGCACAAGCATAAACGTAGACACAGAAGACGTCTAAGTCTTTTAAGTGTGGGCCTGTGTGTGTGCTTGAGAGGGGCGGGGCGGTGCACATCAGCGCATGAACACGAAACACAACGGCACAAGGGCACAAACGCGCAATTTTCAGGGCTCGGTACACGAGGTACGACGACCCGAGAGATCTCGAGGTTGAAGGCCTGCGGCACAGATGTATGGAATCTCACGGGGGATACTGGAGTATCTCCTCACGTGTATGGAAAGATTGGGGGAGAAAAGAAGGTCCGAAACTGCCAAGGCCAGACACGCACGCAGCAACTTTAGTCAGCCAACAAGGCATTTAAGGCCAGCTGAGCGAAGGGGGGCGTGCTGCGTGCGAACATCCTTCCTGATGCACATGATGCTTGAGCGAGGCAATTTCCTATCGGTGGAAACAAAGGATTGCGCGAGGGCGACGGAACACCACGCTATTAAGTGCCCTGAAATGCCGGGATGAGCTAAAGTTCTTTGTCTGTCCGTGTTCGTTCGGCACGATTTGAAGCAACAAGAACTGCGTTTTCAAAAAGCGCGGCCAATGAACAACAACAACAAACAGGCAGCGATCGTGCGCACAGCAAGCAAGAAGCAAGCAACACACACAGACACACACAGACACACACAGACACACACACACACATGCACAGACACACACACACAGACACACAGACACACACACACAGACACACAGACACACACAGACACACACAGACACCATGTCGGGGCAACAGCGAGGAGGCAGGCTTCAGGAGGAGCTGGCTGCATTTCGAGCACGGTGGCTCAGCGAGCTGACACTGCCGTCTTCCCTCACACAGCAGCAGACACAAGGAGAACAAGGACCACAACAACAACAACAGCAACAACCAGGAGTGGCAAACGATGCAGCCGCATCCTTACCCAGCACCAGCAGCAGGACCACAACAACAGCCACCAGACACAGCGATGATGCGTCTGGTGACGCTCACCCCTTACTGCAGACAATCAGCATCTGGGCTGGGGAGGACACCACAGCTCCCCACCAGGCGTCACACAGGCGGTTTGGCATTGAGGATGAATCTGGGCGGCACACACACGCACAGCCACAAGAACCGGCACCCCTCCTGGTCATCCCGCTCAGGCCACAGCGGCGAGAAGCCGGCAAGAGCCACACCCGTGGCAGCGACGACAGCAGCGACGGGGATGACGATGACGCCCTGTTTGATGCAGCGTTGGACGCTGCCCTCGCACGAAAGCGCCCCAAGACCTCAACCCCACAGCAAGCGGTACACGCAGCCGCGCAAACTGCAGCAGGACCAACAGCAGTAACAGCAGCAACAACAGCAACAACAGCAGTGGCAGGGAGAGCAACAGGCGCAACGTCGAAGCGAGCGGACATTTTTTCCAAGGCATGGACCTCGCCCTTCGCAGCCGCACTCCGACAGCGTCGCAACGAAAAGCAAACATCAGGGCAACCCCACGGTCAGGCACAGCCAGAGAGGCACGTCGATGAGAAGCGCAAGTCGCACGAAGAAGCCACCACACCACCACACCACCCCCACGCCACCACCACCATCACCACCACCACGACGCCACATGGCACCACACCAACCATAGACACGCCAACCCCACAACCACAACCACAACCACAGCTGCAGCAGCAGCAGCAGCTGCAGCAGCAGCAGCAGCAACAGCAAGTACAGCGTCGGCAGCAGGCACCACGTCCCCAGAACGAGTACGTGCGCATGCTCATCGATGACATCAACGAAGACATCACAGAGCCGCTCTTTGACGAGCTGTTGCCCCTGGAAGTGGCAGAGCTGGTGTTTCTCTATCTCGACCTGACCTCGCTTGGTCGGTGCGCCTGCGTCAGCCGAGCGTGGCGGGAGCTCGCCGACTCAAACCGCGTGTGGTATGCCTATGCGCGGAGGCACGGCATCACGGCCGCCCGCCTGTCTTCGCAGCGCGACTGGAAGGCGTTTGTGCGCCGCCGCATCTTGCAGGAGCGCGAGCAGCGCCGGCGGTGGATGGAGCTGCAGGCCGGGTTCATCTGCCTCAAGGACACGAGCACGTTCGACCAGGTCACGGCTGTGTCGTACACGTCGCGCGGGGTGGCTGTCGGATACCAGGACGGGCGGGTGCGTTTCTTTGCACGCGAGGATCTCATGCGTACGCGTATGGTCGACCCGTGTGCCCGCGCCAGCCGCATCAACTGCATCGTGCACACAGAGGACATGATGTTGTGCGGAACACAATGCGGGAAGGTCGTTGGCTGGGACCACGGCTTTGGGCAGGTATTCTGCCTGCAGCACCGAGATCCCATCAACCGCGTCACCGTCTGCCAGCACGCCTCCCACCCACGCGCGCTGGCGGCCTCCAACACCACACTCCTCGCGGCACACAAAGCAGCAGCAGCAGCAGCAGCAGCAGCAGCAACAGCAACAGCAACATCAACAGCAGCAGCAACAGCAACAGCAACAGCAGCACAAGCATTGCCAGCAGCAGTAGGAAGAGCAGCCACGGCAACAGGCGGTTGGAGACGTGGCCCAGTCCGTAACATGGTATCCCGCAACGCACGCCAGCCACAACCATTACAACAGCAGCAACACCACCAGCAACAACAACTACAAGGCAGCAGCAGCAACACGGTTGGCAGTGGCCGTGATGAAGGCGGTCATGGATGGTGCTTCTCGCAAGCGAAGCGTGAGTTTGATGCGAAGATCACACACGTTGACGAACTGAGCGCTGGCACCGACATCGCTGCCGTCATGACGACCGCCACACTCGACATCATCAACACGGAGCGCATGAGTCTCGTGCACAGCATCCACGCCGCACCCCCGCCGGGTGTCACGGGGGCAAAGTGCACATCACTGCACTGCTCTGGTGCGCACCTTGGGTATCTCACGTCGGACCACGGCATGTGGACGGCGCGGCTGGTGGATGTCTCCTCTGGCGGCATCGTGTGCACGTACACCGATTTCAGACACGCGCACAGATCCCTGCAGCTTGTGTCTGCTGCAACCAACAGCACGGCCACGGCCACCACCACACCGGTCTCGCCGGCACTTGAGCTGGCGCTTGCGGGGACGGCTGGCGTGAAGTTCTACGACGTGCGCGCCGAGAATGTGTCGCAACACATCCGCACGCCCTCCTACCTGTGTCGCGATGTGCGTGTTGACGACTGGCGCGTGGTTGTGTCTGGGCGGTTCACGGGCCCAACGGGGCGCCAGCCGCCGTTCAGCATTGCACTGTACGATCGGCGAATGGGGAAGCAGCTCTGGTTCGTGCGTCAGCGCGTGCCTGTGCGCTTTCTTGAGATGGATAAGGACACGATTGTGTTTGGTTCCAACCGGCACGTGGATCCGTGTGCCTCCAGTGCGCCATCCTTCATCCCGCACCGCCCGCGCCGACCGCTGCTGCGCGACCTGGATTCCATGTCCTGTCTAAACGTGCTTGATTTTGCGGCGCCGCTGTCCTCTCTCACAGATGAGGAGTGTCCGTTCAGCAGCAAGTACGAGGACATTCACGGCTACAGCTTCAACATTGCCCTCGAAACTCCATTCGACGACGTCGAGCCATACAGACTGGGCTGACGCTGCACTGGTGTGTGTGTGTGTGTGTGTGTGTGTGTGTGTGTGTGTGTGTGTGTGTGTGTGCGTGTGTGTGTGTGTGTGTGTGTGTGTGTGTGTGTGTGTGTGTGTGTGCGTGTGTGTGTGGGTCGGCGATTTGATGCATTGCGTTAGTGTTTTGCGGTGCGGTTGTGGCGGGGCTCGACGGTCATTGTGTAATATGTACGCATGAAAAGAATCCACTTCTTGACTTGAAACAACTACAGCGCCCATCTTTGAGTTTGAGATGACGATGATGAAAGTAAACGAACAAATGCAAGCACTCACAAGGAAACAACACGAAAACGAAACAAAAAGCACACGGGGACAACTGGCAATGAGGAGTTCAGGCAATGAGGAGAAGCACAAGCACGTCGAACAGACAAACAGACAAACAGACAGACATACACACACACAGAGGCCGGGGCACGACAACCACACCAATCACAAGTGGGGAGCGTAGCGTCGACGCAACTACGATGTTGTCTCGTGGGACTGGTTGTGGTCTGCCACCTCGTCGTCCAGGGCGCTGTCGAGGGCAAGCCTGGCCAGGTACTCCTCCCGTTTCACAGCAAGCGTCACAGCTGCATGTGGCGGAGGGATTGGGGGAGGGGGGGGGGGTGGGCAGGAGTCAAGCGATGGTGAGAGCAAGGCAGACGCAGGTGCACACGCAGACACAGACAGAGACAGACAAAGAGACAGACAGACAAAGAGACACAGACACAGGCACACACAGGCACACACAGACACGCACAGACACACAGACACACACACACACACACACACACACACACGCACACAGACACACACACACACAGACCTTGAGGGACGTCGGGGATGAGCCACTGGAAGAGGAACTTGCAGAGGAAGACAATGTGCTCAAAGATGATGAGGAAGCCCAGGCGAGCAGCAATGACCTCGTAGTAGAACTGGCCGCGTGTGCCGTCTGCCTCGCGAAGACCAAAGTAGCTGCAGGTGGTCGTGGTGGCAGTCAAGCGCGAGTGAGCACGCGACAGCGCATCGAGACAAGTTCATGACGAACACACACAAGGGTTGCAAGAACAAGTACACACATACGCAAACGCAAATGCAAACGCAATCGCAGACACAATGCATGCGGACAGACTGATGCTCACAAAACAACAGCCAACAACAATCAACAACCAAGAACAGCCATCAGCAATGAACAACAATCAATCAACGATTAACGACAGCAGAGCAAAGGCGCGGGAGGACGCACTGGCAGTTTGCAAAGTCTGGATCATCTGCGGGGTCGACGGGCGAGAGCGGATAGATGGCATCAATGTACCCGTGCAGCCTGATTCGAGTTGGGGATGAAGGAAGGGCGGGAGACGGAGGGACACGAGAGGGGTGAAGAAGATGAGTGGCCAACGACAGTGTTCGTGGCAATAAATGGCAAGGGAGTACACACAGAAGCAAAGCGGAGTGTGTGCGGCTGGAACATCCGATCAGGAAAGGGAACACCCACACATTCATGTGCAAGCATGAGCGATGACACAACTGCATGAGATCTCTCACGTTCCGTCGTGTGCGTAGCGCCAGACTTCGCGGGGAATGAAGTTGCTGCTGAATGCAATGACGAGGCCGTTGGTCAGCACGCTGAAGTAGCTGATGAACGTCATCACCTCGTCCCTGAACGCGAACAGCACAGTGACATCCGGGGAAAGGAGGGTTGCGTGCGTTGGTGTGGTGCGGGCCGTGGCGGTGTCGCATGCAGAGTGAGCGCGGAATCACAGACAATGCATTGAGACAAACACGAGCAAGTGCGGTCACAAAGTAATGCAATAGTGAGGACGTACACAGACGTGTGAGTAGACACCCACACCCACACCCACACCCACACTTACACACACACACACACACACACACACACACGAAAGGACGTGAGGGCGAACCAGATGCCGATGTTGGCGGCGCGCTGGGCTGGCGGGCGACGGTAGACGGTGAGGAGCTTGTGCGCATCAATGCGAATCTCCAGGATGTTGTTCAGCAGCGCAAAGAACGGCGCAAGGGAGAAGGCTGACACAAACAGGGACAGGAAGCCAAACTGGTTTGGGGGAGGGGCGCAAGGGGCAAGGGACAGAATGGGAATATGGACAGAGGCGCAAGATTGCATTGGGAGCGCGGGCGTGAGTTTGGCTGAGGGGCATGGATGGAGCGAGGTACATCAACCTTGCAGAAAGCAGAACAGAAAGCACAGAAGCGTGATGTATAAAACCACATACACACACAGGCACACACAGGCAGACACACACACACACACACACACGCAGAGGTTCCACAGAGCAACGTTTACCTGCAGGATCATCTCGAGGTACTCTGGGAACATGCCGTACTGGGGGAAGGGCGCCAGGTTGAGGTACTGTCATCACACGGAAGCACATGGGCGAGCACAGGCGGGTTAGGTTTGCTATGGGTGGCGGCGAGATTGTACAAGCAACAACAACAACAACAACAACAACAACAACTTAAACAACAACAACAACAACTTAAACAACAACAAAACAACTTAAACAACAACAACAACAACTTAAACAATGTCTCACCTCGTTTTCCCACGGGAGGAGGCGACGGGCCTTTTCCTTGAGCTCTTTCGGCGCCATGATGTTGCGCACTTTGCGCATGACAGCTGGCAGCAGCATCTGTGCAGCGCACACGCACACACAGGAATGGTTGAGCAGAATGTTGAGTGAGTGAGTGAGTGAGTGAGAGTGAGTTTGTGGGTGAATGTGATGCGTGTGCGCATACTCATGAGGATGAGAACACTGATGGCAGTGATAGTGTTGACACAGAGGAGCAGCAAGTCCAAACGAGGCGCACAGCGTGCAGTCCAGGAGTGAATCAGGCGCTGTTTCGTGCGCATGTGCGACGGAACGAACCTCGACGATGTTGTTGATGATTTGGCGACCGACCATGATGATAGCGAGCTGGATGGTCAGCTCAAGCATGCATCCATACGGCGGGCTGAATGCGCCACACACATGCATGGGAGACGACAAAGCAATGAGACAGCATGCAGCGTAAGGCCCCCAAGGGTACCAAGCTCCATGTTCACACACACACACACACACACACACACACACACACACACACACACACACACACACACGCACAAACGCACCATTCGTCCTGTCTGTAGCCGAGGAGCTTGGTGTAGGCGCCTGGGCGGCCAACAAACTTGCCCTTGAAGAAGGCAATGTAGAAGATGGAGGCAAACGAGTTGACAAAGGAGAAGAGGAAGATCTTGGACGTCAGCGACCCTTCGTACTCAGACTCCTTCTGGTGGTTCTCCCAGTCGGTGAGGGTGACTGCAAGGCGGCCGTACACCTGGTTCATCAGCACAATGCCCGCCAAGTTGATCACACCAGCCGTCACAGCCGTGATTGTCGACGCTGAAGGCATGGACAACAAGAAACAACAGTGCCACAGTGTGTGAGATGGCGGCGGGAAACAATGTTGCCGAACAACTCATGCAGTGATGAACACAAATGCAGACAGACACACACACACACACACAAACACACACAAACAAACAGAGACAAAGGCATAGGCACACACGCACGGGCAGGCACAGACGGACAAAAACGGCGGACCTTGGGAGCCGTCGAGCTGAGCGGCGAGGGCGGCGCGGACGGCGATGCGGTAGACAATAACGGAGAACACAATGATGATGACGACTGCAAGCATCACAACCATGGTGGCAAAGCTGCCAACTTGCTTGACGGAGCGTTTGTAGCCTGGATAGTACTTCTCCTCCTTGCCCGTGACGGGATTCTTGCGCTTTGTTGTACCGCGGAACTGGGGCCGGTCACGCTCCTCCTCGGCAAAGTCGAGCACATCCCAGTCATAGCCGAGCTGCAATCGCGCGAATGACCGTGTGTGTGTGTGTGTGTGTGTGTGATTCATGTGTGTGTGCGCGTGTGATTCGTGCAGGTGCAGCACACTGTGTGTGTGTATGTGTACGACAAATGACTCCCGAGGGCAAGTCTGGCGCACCTCAGCGTTGCGGCGCTTCCAGAAGTCAATGAAGATGGACGCCCACACGGACATGAAGAACGCAAACGCAATTGTCGCCTCGTTGTCAAACCAGTATGACGCCTGCAACGACAGACGCATCAGGAGAAAAACACGTGCAGCAGTGTGCACATGGTGGTGAGTCATGACCCACAATGGCTCCCAGCGCACGGTGCAACTAATACATTCAAGCGAACGTCTCAAGACACCGCCCAACACGCGGTGATGCAACGTAAGGCCCACCCCACTTCTGCTTCCATGCTCGCTCACGCCACAATGAAATATCAACGATAACCGACCTGGTACATGTTGCACGCCTCGGTCAGGTTCCACCGCTCACAGCCCTCGTTGCACAGCGGGCACATCGTGAAGTTCGACTCGCACACATCAATTGCATCCTGTGCACGGCGGGTTGGGCGCCCAGAGGGAAGGACAGCGGGAGCAGCGGAGGTGGCGTGAGCGAGGGAGGCATGAATGTTGACACGGGACGCAGGTCAAATCCTCAAACCCCCACGCGCACGAGATGCAGACATGTACACCACAGCTTGGAACACACACACACACACACACACACTCTCTCAACCCGACCCAACACAAGGCAACCCAACATGGGTATTAGGGGACGTACGCGTTGCTGGCGATAGTTTGCAAGACCGTTGATGAAGACGATGAAACCAAGGATACCGGGAACAAGGAGCGCATACGTGTAGAAGCCGAGCCAGGCAAAGTAGAGGCCTGAACACACGCACACACGTGCATGGGAGGCGTTGAAGGGCCATGAGTAACCGGGGATTCGCAGTTGACAACGACACACATCATAACTGTGACAACATATGTACACATACAATGTCCTGGTCCTGAACAGAGAGCATGGTGAGCAGCAGCAGCAGCGACGTACCAATCTTGACGCCAAAGTACTTTCTGATGAGGTCGTAGGGCTGGAAGATGAAGCAGAGCTTGAGCTGGCCCCACACCTCGTACAGCGTCTTGCGGTCGTTCACCTCGCGACCTGAGGCGAACACGTGTCACCATGGCGGGGCCAGCAAGCAAATCGGGTGAGGGGCAATGCGAAAGGCGCCGGGATTCGTGCATACAAAGGTGCCGCGAACACACGCACACGACGCGTACCGGCTCACGGGTAACCACAGACAAACACCGACAAGCACAAACAAATGTACTCATATGCACAGACACACACGCACGCAGAAAGACAGACACACACACACACATTTCCCCGCGCACACACACATAAATGCATGGACACATGTGTGGCTTCAAGGCAGGAGCAGCCCACCCTTGTCGTATGGGTCCGGGTCATCGGGGTCGATCTTGTGCGGGCCGTCGTGGAGGGGAAAAGCAGCGGCGAAGGTGCCGTTGGTGAGCAGCTTCTTGATGCCAACCTGCGAGTCCTTGGCCCCGTACGGCACACGCGTCAGCTTCTCCCACACAAGCGAAGAGCGCTCGCCTTTGCAGTGTGTGACGCCGTGCAGATTTGAGTGGATGATGATGGTGTGGGTGTGGTACAGGGTGCGTGCGTGCGTGCGTGCGTGCGTGTGTGTGCGTGTGTGTAGGTGTGTGTAGGTGTGTGTAGGTGCGTGTGTGTGAGTGGGTGAGAGGAAAGATGCAAGTGCATGTGGGAAGTGAGGATGCAAAGGCACACGTGTGCAAGAGAGGGAGGCTGGGTGGGCGACTCACCGCTGGTGAAGAACTTGTCTTCGTCTTCGATGTTCTCAAATTGATCGCGGATGCACATGCGAAAGTCTGCACTGAACGAGTCCGGCTCCTCCTCCACATCCGGCTGCAGGCGCCTGCTCGCCACGAACACGCACACACACACACACACACACACGTACAGGACAACATAGGCCAATAAGTAAGGCGGGCGCACAGATGTTTGTGTTTGCGGATGAAGTTAGCAGAGGTCTGTATGCGCGCGCGCGTGTGAGAGAGAGAGGGTGTGTGTCGCTTTGTATGATACGCACGTGAGGTACTGGGCCGGGCTGAGGGAAAGGAAGAGGCGGTCAGCAAACGACTTCTGCACCAGCAGCTCTTGCAGGTGCGACGACGCCTACACCCGCACACGCACGCAGGCACATGACACGCGTGAGGGACACGATTGAGCATTTGGCAAGGGCAGTGCTGGCTGCAGCAGTTCCACACACAGGAGCAGACAGCCACACACAGGTACACGCAGACACAGACACACAAGGGCAATGCTAACAGCAGAAGGCGAGCACTGGCATGTGGTGCGGCGCGCAATTCACCTCAGGCTTAAGGGTCTTCTTGATCTTCGACTTCTCAGCCTCCTGCAGGAGCAGCTCAAACGGCGCGTGGACCTGGCACCCAGGGGGGAGTGATGATGATGATGATGATGGTGGTGATGGCGGTGGTGGTGTTGTGATGAGGTGATAGAGGGTGGGGCGCACAGGAAACAAGACACAGTAGACATAACAGGACACAGAGGCACGTAACCACCGGCAGCAGCTTTGATTTGATGCACACCTTGATGAAGAGGAGTTCGCCGTCAGGAGAGCACTCCGTCTCCAGCTCAAACCCTATAATTGTTGTCGTTGTCGTTGTTGTTGTTGTTGTTGTTGTTGTTGTTGTTGTTGTTGTTGTTGTTGTTGTCAGTTTTGCATGTTCACAACATCGCGCATCAAAACCACTTCCGCCACTAACGCCGTACCGTCCCGCCACCACAGCATGCAGGGTGCGCACCGAGGTCGCGAAGGCTCTGCAGGAAGATGCCGCGCTTGCGAACTTGCTTCACCTCAGACGGATCGTCAGAGGTCTGGCAACCAGCCACGCACACACACACACACACACACACACACACACACACACACGTACGTGAATATGGACATACATGATTCACAAGATATGACACACACACACACACACACACACCTTAGAGAGCATGTTGAGCAGCTGGTCCCCGCGTCGCTTGACACCGCCCCGACACGCCCGAAACGCCTTGCGAATGTCGAGCCACTGATGCCTGCAGGCAACCAAGGGATGCATGGGCATGCGTTGTGTGTGCGTGCGTTTTGTGCAATGTGCGCATATGCGTGCATATGCAGCGTGAAGAAAGTGCGTTGAGCGTTGGCAAGTCAGCAAAGGACTGTAGCTTCTCTTCCGTCGCTCGTCAGCCGTATGCGCACGTGCAAGCCACCACCAATTCTCTCCAACCACTCATCTGTGGGTGTGTTGGCCCTTACATGAGTGCTGGCGCAGGTACACTGCTGGCACGGCACTGCCACTGGAAGAAGTTGCGAAAGTCCCACGGGCTAACAAGAGTATTACGTGAGGGGTGTGGTTGGTCGTGTGTGGTTGGTCGTGTGTGGTTGGTCGTGTGTGGGTGTGAGAAGGAGAGCAAACTGGACAGGAGGGAGGAGGATGGAAGCGAGAGTCGGCGTGAGCATGAGAACAGCGGTGGATGCGAGGGATACAAGGAAGGTGGTGCCGTGAGAAGAAAACGACGAACACAGACATGTGAGGGAGAGCATTCATTACCCGTCAGATGCAAGTAGCAGCTTGTGGCCAGCGTCATGCGATCTGAATGAACACAAGTGAATGGTGCGATGAGCACACACACACACACACACACACACACACACACACACACACACACACACGCACACACATGCATGTGGGTCAATTGACGGTGGCAGGGCAAAGCGCAATCAATACAAGGTGCAACACAACACACTTCATTCGAAACCACCCACGCAACAGGGTGCATCCACAGGTCATACCCACTCACTCTCCATGCATCATCAGCATCATCATCATCATCATCATCATCATCATCATCATCATCATCATCATCATCATCATCATCATCATCATCATCATCGTCACTGTGTACACGTGCGGACCTGTACTTGTCGAGGATGGCCATGACCTGATCCAGGACATGTGGGAACTCGGCTGCGCTGTCAACGCTCTCCTGCCGTACACATCGCAGGTGTAGGTGGTATTCATGCGAGGGTTGTTTGAAAAGAGGACGCACACGTACATGCGTCTACGAACGTATGGGTGTGGGTGTGCCTGATGATGTGGCACCTTGTGTGCGTCGCGAACTGAAGCACACAAACACAGACACAGACGCAGACACACGCAGACACACACTGGCAGCCAGACAGACAGAACACACACATATATACACGCACACGCGTATGCGCAGGTGCACGTTAATACCTGCTTGATGCCAGTGAGTTGTGTGCAAAAGGGAGAGAGTATCGGGTTGAACACGGGACGGCAGTAGAACTGCTGCTTCTCAACCTGAGTGTGTGTGTATGTGTGTGTGTGTGTGTGGTCCATTCCAATGTCAGATGTCTTGAGGCAATGTGCTCACCACCGCAACGTGAACGCAACGTGAACGCACGACACCACCTATCACGCGTCATCGCAAGCGTGAAACAAGTGCACGGCCAGTTCCCACGCGCACAGAACTGTACTCACAATCTCTTTCCGGTGAACATCAATGATGACGAGGGGAAACTCGATAATCTCATGTGGGAAGTTGGCATCGTCCTCTTCACAGGTTGCCTCAAAGTCCACAACGCAGATGAAGGTCGCGTCCTTGCCATGCTTCTTGGATAATCTGCACGTGCACCACAGCGACATTGTGCAGGTGATAGGCGAGGGCTGGAGCAACAGCAAACACCACATCGCACCGCCTGCCACAAGCTTATTCCATTCCCCACACCCTGCGCCACCATCTCTTATTACCTGCTGCTGTCTTGGACTTGTTGTGGCTGTGGTTTCGTGATGCGTTTGTTGACGGCTTGCTTGAGGCGATCTCGCAAGGCCTTGGCTGATCCCTTTCGCTCCACCTTTAGCTCAGCTGCAGCATTCACCAGCTGTCCGTGGTTCATCTGATTGATCAGGCGTCTTGCGCTCCGCACAACACCACCACTCTGGCCGCCATTGCCGCTTCTGCCTTTGCTTCCGCTTCCGCTGCTGCTGCTGCTGGGGTTGTTGGCGTTCTTTCCTGCCGTCGCAGGCTTCTTCTTCACTGTGACCAGCTCCACCAGCTCGCTCACCACTCCTTTCTTCTTCTTCTTCCTCGTTTTCTTGTTCAACTGTGTCTTCTTTCCCGTCGCCCCTCTCTTCTCTTTCTCCTCATGACATGCCTCCTCTTCCTGCTGCTCGTGCTTCTCCTCCACCTGCTCTCCTCCAGCAGGGTGCATCACGGAGGCAGTGTGCATTGTCACAAAGCTGGCTGGAAAGAAGACCACAACAGCACAAAATAACCGCGCCGTTAACATCGCTGTTGGTTCTCGGCGCTGTTGGTGGTGCCTGCTTGCCTCCTTCCAGCTCTCCTCGCTTGACTTGCTTGCGTTTACTGGCGTGTTAACACCAAGGGGCACCATGGGTGTGCCGGCGCGGCTGGTGTGGGGTGACGTCCACTTCCACGGGCTTGTGCTTCATGCTGGTGCAGCCGACGCGCCACAAGCCTCTGCGGCGCCCACGCCAACGACCAGAGCCAGTGAACGTGGTTCTGCGTCGCGACATGGTGAGGTGGTGGCGCCCTCCAAGTCACAGGCGGTGGCTTTGCCGTCTTCCAGGGACCCGCCACCTTCCCGGTGCTCAGCATCCGTCCTCTCATCGTCACTGGCAGCATCGACAGCAACAGCTGCGCCTGCGTCGCAGCTTGGCTCGTTTGCTCCAAAGCTGTCACGGATGCCTTCGGTGACACGATTGCGACGCACGCGCGATCCGCTCTTGGGGCTCACCCGGGCCTCGTTCATCTGTGAAGGCATCATCACGCTTCACAGGTGGCAGCTTTCCTCCGTCGGCGCTCACTCGGGCACGATCACCGTTCCAGGCCCACAAACAACGGAGCGTCACAGTATCGCCATGTCCACATCTTCTTCGGGCGGCACTCACGTCGAATCAGGCGCAAGCGAGCTTCCGCCAGAAGCGCCACCAGAGACGCAAGCGCTCATGCAATGGCTTGCCCAGTCTAGGTTTGTCCATGTGTGTTTTGTGTGTGTGCGTGTGCAAAGTGTGTGCTGTGTGTGTGTTGTGTGCTGTGTGTGTGTGTGAGTGTGTGTGTGAGTGTGTGTGTGAGTGTGTATGTGCGAAGTGTGTGTGTGCGTGAGTGTGTGTGTGTGTGTGTGTGTGTGTGTGTGTGTGTGTGTGGGTGTGCGTGTCGTGTTTGTGGCGTGCGCGTAGCGTATGGACGGCAACCACACAACCATCATCACTCACATCCACGCATGACTCGCGTGTCATGTCCTTGTTCTCGCTTGCAATTGTCACCGTGTGCACATCAGATCCATCATGCTCGTGCATTGCCCACATGTGTCGAAGCGCTTCTGGGTACACGCCCCTTATGCCAACGCGTCCAACACCCTCTTCAATCTCCTGGTGTGTTGTGTTGTGCTGAGTTGTGTTGTGTTGTGTTGTGTTGTGTTGTGTTGTGTGCTTAGAATGTACTTGGTGTGTATGACAGTGGTGCGCTTGTACAAGTACCACACACACACACAGAGCTCGCAAACCGCGTCGCGCCTCACGCACATTCACACATGCATTCGTGACAGGAATACAAGCCGTGTTCGTTCTTGACGCAGGTGGTGATGGAGATGGAGATGTGCAAAAGTGCAAATCGACCATGGCAGCCAGGTGCGTTTAATACAAGCAGTGTTTCTGTGTGCGTGCGTGCGTGCGCGTGTGCGTGTGCGTGTGCGTGCGTGTGCGTGCGTGTGCGTGCGTGTGCGTGTGAATCGCTGTATCATGCGCGTCTTCCTTCTTTTTTCACCAGTTTTCACCCATTTACACCCCGCCCTTACCCTTCTTACGTCCATCATTCCAGACGCAGTGCACCTCGCCGCTGCCGTGGATATATGTGCAGCCGTTCCAGAGGCAAGCAGTAGCGACAGAGACAGCGACAACAACTGCAACAATGATGACAGTAACGACAACAACAGCAACAGCAATGAAGACCACACCAACGACAGAGACAACAGCAGCAGACAGGGCAGTGGTGGTGCGAAGATGAAAAGCAGTAAGAGACACGCAAAGGCAACAGCACTCCGAACAAGGGGTGCTGCTGCCACAACACCATCATCACCATCATCACCACCATCACCATCACCATCATCACCACCATCATCACCATCATCGTCACCACCTCTGCCATCACCACGGGTACGCAAGAAAGCTGTGCAAACGCTGGAGCATAAGTTGCGCTCGCTCGAAGCCACCGCAAATACACACACGCAGCAGATGCTGCAGCGGCGCGACATGCTGGATGACATCTTCAACGACGGGGATGAGGACGTGCCCTCGAAGAACACTGCAAAGGCCGTGTTCCCATGGCTCTCGCTCATGCCAGAGTGGCAGAACCTGCACCTCAGCCCGCCAAAACCGCGCACGTGTGCAACCACGCCCGTCAACCCACAGTCGGAGCTGGCGAATCTTGATCTGCTGCACGGCAAGAGCCTGTCCCTCACCTCCCCGTCGTCGCTGCGGGTGGCCACACGCACGCGCATGCACACGCGTGTCATGAACAGCAGGCACAGCGCCAGTAGCAGCCGCACCAGCAGCAGCAGCAGCAACATTAACATGGGGGTTGGCCACGCCACCCGCTCACGCACGCGCTCACGCACACGTCCGCAGTGGCGCGCGCAGCGCGTGCCGGTTGTGACGTCACCATCCCCAGAGCAGGGCGCCAAAGGAAGGGTTGGGCACGTTGTTGAACGCGTGCATAATGCACTTGCAGACCTGCTGCGCGCGCCGCCGGCACCAGTCCCGCCACCAAACCTGGACTTGATGGCGCAGTGCGACGACGACAACGACGACGATGACGACGACGACGATGATGGTAATGTTGATGGTGATGGCGCCACCACGGCGAAGACGAGGGCGGCGGTGAGCGGTGGTGATGGTGGGAGACCGGCACAGCGTGGCGGTGCGCAAAGGGAGACCGGCAGTTGCCCATCGCAAGGAGGTGTGGGGCGAGAGGGACAGCAGGGCAGCGTTGGTGGTGGAAGAAATGACGGTCGTAAGAGATCGCGCACACGGGTGCTGTCGTTGCATGATGGGCCAACAAGTCCGCTTGGACCGGATGAAATGTCCAGTATTGAAGCCTGCAGGTATGACTGGCAGCGGGAGCACGTGGAAGAGGGAAAGGGGGGCGTGAGTGAATGGCTGTGATGGAGTTTGACAATTACTTGCACTGTTGTGATGTGTCTTGCTTCATCTCAGATGCTCACTACCGTGCGCCCACCACACCCACAACACGCGCCCACAACACACGCACGCAACACGCACACACGCAACACACGCACGCAACACATGCACACCCACATAACACGGTTGTTGGGACCCAGGCAAAGCTTTCTTTCGCAGCACGTGCTGCCGCAGTCCACGCACAACATCACGCGTCTGCTGAACAGGTCGTGCAACAGCGCAAGTGCCATCCAGTTGCGACAGCTGAGCTCAAAGTCCGACCGCAGTTCGCCGTCAACAACACACGCGTCATCGCCAGCGTCGGCAGATGCACCGACAGCTGCCACCTCCACCTCCACCGCTGCCGCTGTTGTGCAGTCGTTGCGGTCATCAATGTCACCGCCATCATCGTCGTCCACGCACTCACCACGCACCACAGGGACACGCACGCGTCTGGCTCGTGGTGGTAGCGGTGGCGGCGTTGGCGATGGTGACGGCAGCTTTGATCAGAGACGGAAGCGCAGGTCACGGCGACACGGTGGGGATGTGGCGAGCAAGCGGGCGAATGTGGTGACGCCTGGAGATGGCTCCACAACGGCGCTGCTGTTGAGTCCAGCAAGCACCAGTCCGCACGACAGCCCGGCCCCGCTTCGCCGCCATCAGCCATCCACGGTGAGCGAACGGGTCATTCGAGGCCTGTGCTGGTTTGGTTTGGTTCGTTGTGGTTTGGTTTGTTTGTCTGTGTTTGTTTGTGCGTCTTTGTTGTGTGTTTGTTGCTTGTTTGCTTGTCTGTGTGCATTGTTTGTGTGTGTGTGTTTTGTGTATGTGTGTGCATTGTGTTTGTGTGTGTTTTGTGTATGTGTGTGTTTGTGTGCGTGTATGTGCGTGTTGGCTCCTTTGGTTTGCTTTGGTTTGGTTCCACATCTTCTGGCACGTGTACTCTGTGGTGTGTTTGCCATACAGTTGCGAGCGAGCAGCAGTACGTGCCCCCCTGTGTCGCTCCTTCTTCGCGCGCGCTGCGTACATCTCCCATCGTCACTCCTCACGGTGTATCGACCTTATCATTCCGTGCTGGTTCATCTGCATGTTCCCACAGCGTCCACGAAACGGCGGCGGCGGTGCGCGTGGCGTCACAGGGGCCAGGGGCAGCACCCGTCGATACGACGCGGGCGTCCTTGATGACAGCGGCGTGAGCGGCGCACCTGGTGAGGGTGACGGTGATGGTGGCGATGGTGGCGATGGTGGTGGCGGTGTTGCAGATGTGTCGCCGCGTCGACGAATGCGTCGGGCACGGAGAGCGCGGCCACAGGCGGAGGTGGACGTGCAATCCATCTGGGAGAGCAACAAGCCAAGGCTCTGGGCTGTCATAAAGGTTCGTGCGGTGTGGTGCCGTGTGTGTAAATGTGTATATGTGTGTGTGTTGGATGGGTGTATGCGTACATGCTTGTACTTGTGCTCTTGTGTGTGGGTGTGTGTTCTTTGCACAAGTTTGGAGGAAGCGTTTTGCGGGAGACTTGTGGATGGACAGACACGGATTGCACTCAAGGCGAACTAGTGTTGTTGGCTTTGGGTTTTGGGTGTTGGCTTGGTATTCGTTTCTCACGTGTATGTGCGCATCACAGAAACGGTTGAATGCAACGGATGCCCAGCGCAACGCTGTTCGCACGACATTGTACAAGGTACGGGGTCGCCAGGAGTTTTGCACGCTACGCACATGCACGCACACACAAACACATGTACATTTCTTGTTGCTTGTGTCATTGTTGTGAGTGCATTACAGCCTCCACTGCAATGAGCGCATGCTTAGATGCCCACACCTGGTTTGTTTTGCGTGATTGTGATCACACACACACACACACACACACACACACACACACACTTTAGTGGTGTTATGATGGGGCGATTGCGTGGATAACGAAGCACCAGCGTGCGCCTGCGACGGAAGACTTTGAGCAGCTCGTGCAGACGCAAATTGACATGGTCTGCCACATGGCAGCTTACTTCCAGCGCTGCGATGGCAACAGCAATTCCAATGGCTCGATATGAATGATTGTGTGTGTGTGTGTGTAAGTGCGACTGCGTGTGTGCGCGCGCGTGTGTGTGTATGCGTGTGTGTAACAACTGACCTGAATGAACCAAGCAGAAGAAGCGACAGCAGCCATCACAATGTGAGCGAGGCAGAAGGAACGAGGGCAGAGGAGAGCAGCGATCTGAAATGCAACTGTCACATGTGTTGTCACACACATCACAACATCATCACCAACACACAAACAACACACCCATCCACACGCCAACCGCCCCATCTCAACCGCTCCCGACACGATAAATTAGATGGTTCCTGCTGACGACGATTGTTTCCACCACGCGCCGCAACAAGCAAAGCAAGCAAGCAAGCAAGACACACGCCGCTGCCCCTCCCTCCCCCTCGCAGCAGCAGCAGCAGGCACTCTCACCCACCGCTGCCGCCACGACTTGCTCTCTTGTGTTGTGCTGCACAGAGTATCTGTGGCTCAGTAGTTAGTTCGTTAGGTCCTTTGCTTTTGTGCTTATCTTGTTGCACACAAACACACAGACACACGTCCAGCCATGGTGATCCTTGCGTCCGCCCAGGGCATCTGGTTCATCTTCTCCAACTTCTTCTTCTTCATGGCAGCCGTGTTTGGTGACATCCTGCTGATCCGTATCTGCCTCATTGGCGGCTTTCTCTTCCTAATGATCAACGCGTGCGTCGGTCTACCGGACTACCACGACTTTTGGAAGAACAGCACCCCCATCATCTTCATCGACATTATTGTGTGGTGCGTGATCACGGGCGCGTTCCACGTATACGCCGTGTACCTTCTCATCCGCGATGAGGCGCCCGTGTCGCTCAAGGACGAGGAGGAAGAGGCCGTCTGGCGGCTCTTCTACCGCCGCTCCGGCATGGGCCGCCTGGAATTCCGGGAAGTCATCAAGCGCGGGTACTGGCGCTCCTATGCCGCTGGTGAAACCATCGTGGACGAAACCAACGCCCTCTCCCACCTGCACTTGATTGTGGAGGGTGTGGTGGAGTTCACCTCCGTCTTCCACGGCATCAAGAGCCCTCCACGCAAGCTCTACTCTGGCGACCTCTTCAACCTGGCCGTCACCAACCTCTTTGGTGTCAAGGTGGGCTTCAACTCGGACAGCTTCGTCGCCGTGGCCAAGTCGGACTGCCTCGTGCTGTGCTGGTCCTTTGACCAGGTCAACGTCATGGCCAACCGCATTGCCCCGAGCGTGTCCAGCTACTGGCGCAACATGATTCTGTACACGGTTGCATCCGAGTTCAACCGCACCCACGAAGGCGTTGCGCAGCTCGGTTGCCTGGACGCCCGCGGCACGCCAGAGGCGCCATACTGGTACCATGGCGCGCGCACACGCGACTTTGAGCCGCTGGAGGAGGACGAGGAGCCCGAGACAACGTCCTGTGGCGGCATCATGCGCTGGATTATCAAGTCCATCGACCCCTTCCCGCCACCAGGCATGCGCCACAACTCGCTGCCTGCCTCTGGCATCCTGGCGAAGAACCGTGTTGAGGCTGTGGTAAAGTCGCTTGACCAGGCCCACAAGGACGTGCATGCCCTCGGGCGGGGCGCTGCTGCGTCCATCGTGCGCCACCAGAACCACCTTCAGCGGCACTCGCGGCGGCCCACCCCACTGCAGCCGCTGGCAGAGGAGTCGGAGAGCTTGGGCGAGCGTCCAAACAGCACAATGAGCACGCGGTTCTCAAGCGATGACAACAACAACAACAGCAGCAACAACAGCAACAACAACACCGACAGCACCAACCACAGAGCCAACAGCGATAGCAACACGAACGGCACGAGCAACATGAATGGGAATGGGCTTGGGCGGGCTGGTGCTCGAAAGGGAAGTATAACCGCCACGCGTGTTGACGTGCACTCCTCGGACGCCAGCCCTTAACCGTGCACATGTGTACTATTGTCACCTGTGCGTGGTGTGTGTGTGTGTGTGTGTATGTGTGTGTGTGTGTGTATGTGTGTGTGTGTGTGTGCGTGTGCGCATGTCTGACAACCCAGGCTGTGCATGTGCGCATGTTTTGAGAGCACGCCGTGTGTTGGTGTTTGATTGTGCAGTTAATGTCCTTACTGCATGTGTTTGCAGTCTTCACAGACCACAACTCCGTTTACCCCTCTTCCCCCCTCCCTTGCCTCATTGACCCAGCACCCGCTTGCGACGGTTGTTTGTGCTGGTGGGAATAGTTCGCTCGTTTGATGCGTCGTTGTGTTTGACATTACACGACTACGACTGAGCGTGGGCGAACACCAAGGGTTGTTGCTGCTGTTTTGTGTGTCGCTGGTGGTGTTGGGCGTGCAACAGAACGAGTGTCGTTGAGCAGGAAGGGATGCGTTTACTTGCACGCGTGGCTGCCTGGGCCAACCACACCACCACAATTCAATTTATCTA